GGTATCAAATTGGAGTTTCCCCGGATCATCAATGCATATACTGTAATTGTACGCAAGCATTTTTGATTCCATGAATTTAATACGACGATAGGTTAGAACTACGAATGTCGGTAAAACAGACATGCTACGGGATCCTCTTAAAGACGAGTAAGATTAAAGATATAATAAATTAATAACTTTGATATAAATCTACATAATTCGAAAAAGATTATTAAAGAAAGTGAACTTTTATTTACCTTCAGGTAATTTTATTATTCACCGAAACGATGCGCAGCAGCGGATGAATCTACGATGAATCTGTAACATACAATTAGAAAATTCACATTAGAACAGAGTATACAATTGGACCAACAATCATCAACGAACGATTGCGCATCGATTTAATCGGGTTTTTGAACAAAAATTAGATTTGTCCGGCCAACTTCGAACTAATTTTTGTTTCTTTATTTATAGAAAATTATAGACCAACAAATATTAATATTATGCCAACAATCACCTACAAACGACCAACAAACGATCTGCACAAAAAACAATAAAAAAAGTCGAAGTTGGCCGGCTAAGTTTCCAGAGGCGCAAATTCCCTTCCCGAAATCCCGAGACTGCCGGGAACTGGGGATTTGCGAGGCGTGTCGGTTGGCAGCCCTGCCGTTCTCCCTCCTGTCGCCGCTCTCATTGTTGCTGTTTTGTGGCCGGTGTGTTTGCTAGTTTACATTTTTGGTTCTTGGTTGTTTCCCTCGCGCGGAGCGGAGCGTTCTCCCCTGCGATATCTCGGATTTTACGCGGCGCGTCCTGTTGACAAACAATCGGGATAATTGAGAGAAAACGCAGAAGGTCCGACGGTGGTGGTTGTCGGCGGTGGCGGAAAAGATGCAAAATCTGGAGGAGGTGTTGCAGGCGCTCGATGAGTTCCAGAAGATGCGACCGTCGGTGATCCCGCAGGAGCTCGAGGACTACCTGTGCTGGGTCGCCAAGACCGGCGACCCCATCTACCAGTGGCCGCTGATCAAGACCCTCGTGCGGGAGAAGCTCACCCGCGTAATGACGGACTTCTACGAGAGCTGCACCACTCTGGAGATCGCGCCCTGCCCGAACGTCGAGCACTTCAACTACGACACCATGAAGAGTAACCTGCTCGAGAGGCTCGAGTCGTTCGCGAACGCGCCCTTCACCGTCCAGCGGATATGCGAGCTGTTGACGGCGCCGCGCAAGGAGTACAATCGCGTGGACAAGTTCATGCGCGCCATCGAGAAGAACATCCTCGTGGTGTCGACGCGCGAGCCCGGCCCGATAACCAGACGCGGCGAGACCGGCGACGGTATGGTCAACGGATCCGTCGAGGAGGACGCGGCCTCCGTCACACAGCAGCAGCAGCAACCGCCGCCACCGTCGCAGCCGCCGCCGCAACCTTCCTCGCAGCCGCCGACGCAGCCGAGCGCGCCGGACGTCGACATGGACTGGGAGAAGGACTGCAACCCCACCGTCACGATTAGCGTGCACACCGTCGAGAGCGAGCCGCAGACCCTCCTGCACGGCGCCGTCATGCCGGCCGCCGATTCCGCGCTGGCCAAGAATCTGTTTGCGGACGAGGCGGCGGTGCGGGACAAGTTCGAGCAGGCCGCCCCCAGGACGGACGTGGCGGCGTCCAACTACATCACCGCCGTCGCGGACTTCTCCGCCATACCGAATGTAAATGTGCAGCCGCACGGACCGGCGCCGGAGGCCGTGGCGACCGCCGTTCCAGTTGTGCAGAGTCTACCGGCCGTCGGGACGGCGCCCGACGACTCGACGCTCCCGGGCGCTGACGTAGCAGTGGCGATCATCAACGAGGACACCAATTCCCAGCCCAATTTGGACTTGGAGAGCGAGGAGATCGAGGCGACGGAGACGGCGAGTGTCGCGACGACAACTGCGACGGCGACAACGGCGACGGCGACGACTGCGACGACGACGACAGCGACGGCGACGTCCACGTCGGCGGTGGTGGCGGCGGCGACCACGACGGTGACCGTGGTGGCGACGGTGATTCCGTTGACGACGGACACCACGCGGAAGCTGCAGGCTGCCTTCCAGGCGAAACGCTTCGACTCGGGCGACAGCAAGTGCACGGACAGACCCGACGAGAAGACGACGGAGCCGGCCAAGTTGGGCGATGCGGAGGAGGCGATCGAGCGTCCCGCGAAAAGCGAGGAAGCGACCCTGGCCAAATCGAGCCCCGAGCGTATGGATCTTAACGAGATGTCTCCCGACGAAAGTAGATTAACCGACAATTTATTGCAGACCAACATCAAGGCGAGATCCGACGACGCGGACAGTGCGGAGAGTGTAGTCGAGGAGAGGCTGCCCGATAAACAGGAGGAAGAGGGAGCGTCGATCCTCGAGGAGATGGACGAGGAGAACTTGCGTCCCACGAGCGGTCACCACGCGAACGCGACCGAGTTTCTCGAGTCGCGGCCGGTGGAGAAGAACAGCGCAGCCACCCCCGACGGGTGCGTGAGCGCGGTCATCGTATCCAGCAGCGACGCGATGTACAAGACGGAAAAGTCTGAGGTGCACTCCGAAGAGGCGTCCGCGGCAATTTCTTCTACAGAGTCTACGTTCGCGCACGATCGACCTACGAGCGAGAAAACGGAGAGCGTGGAAGCGCTGGGTAAAGTCTCAGAAGCCATTCCTACGGTAGCGTCTTCCAACAGCAACGCTAACGGACGAGAGGAGCACGAGGCTGAGTTTAACGACGACAATTTGAACATTATGGAAATCTCCAACGATAAGCTGGCTCTTGCCGAGGCGTCAGAGCCGATAAGCGTCGTGGAAGAACCCAAAGAACCGGCGTCCGCAATTGAGAAACTCGACCCTGTCTCGTCCACCGTCGTCGAGATGACAGACGACAGCCCTGACAATGCCGCTTGTCGGTCGCCAAAGGACGATAAGTTAACGGGTGTTCCAGACGACAGTTTAGCAAATTCACAAGGCAATAAAGCGGCTGCGTGCATCGCGATAACGGGGAATCAATCTTCTGTAATAGAGAGTATAGCGTGTAGAAGGGAGGCGATGGAATCGATGGAGGTCGACGACGAAGAATCATTAGCGACGTTTCAACCGGATGAACCTATGGAGCAGGAAACAATAGAGGAGTTGTCGAAAAGTTAATCTTGACTTGTCTAATTGGTCTCTCCTTCCCTTCGTTTAACGTTTAGGCATCTATTCTTAAGACAGATGTCGGAATACGAACCAACACGTAAATATCTTTGCGCATAAAGTAAGACGCTTGCAACATGCTTGTGATGCGATATATACATATGTGTATTGTATGTATGTATATGTATACACACATACGTACACACGAGATTGTATGTGTATACATATATGTGCACATACATAATTTCTATAATTGGTAATTACGAATCATAAGAGTGAAATGGTGAGCAAACGTTAGGTAATGCTAAAAAAAAAAAGAAACGAAAAACTTGACTCCTAATTTAAATATTAACCGCTGCTTTAATTTATTTTGGATTTATCGTTAGACTGAATATAAGCTCTGATATTTACCTGTAAAGAGATGTGTCGAAGTGAATTTTCTATGATTCTCGGAAGGAAAAAGAACACTGCCTACTCCTTAAAAAAAAAAACAAGATTGTAATACTGTGAAACCGCTTGTATAGAAGTCAGATTTGGTAAACATTTAAATACGGATTTATACAAGTACCATGGATATCCGCTTAGAATAAGGTTGTGCCTATAATTATTATGTACATTGCACACTGGACAGGTATACCTAATGAGATGAATTTTTAAATAATGTACGAGTACCGTGCAGATTCACGTGACACTTTTACAATCGAGGCGAGCGGAGACGAGCTGCGTTCGTAATCACAGCCTTATACTAAGTTCCGATCAAATCTGGATATGCGTAATGCCAAAGGAACCAGTTAACTCCACGAATATGTTCGAAAATAAATCGCAGATACGTTCTTTGCAAAACTTTTTGTAGTCTTCAGAGACACCAGACCAATGTTGCTTTAACTGTCTATTAAAACTGCTGAAGAACTTACGTTCGAGACCAATTATTTCGAGTGTTTCGTATATAATTGTTTATCATAATCGGAGCATCATTAAAATTCATTTCACAATTTCCGTTGTCATTAGTAGGCAAGTATCAGTAGGGTATTTTCTTTTTGCGTTTGCTGCTATATGAAAGAGAAAAAGGCTCGAACAGAGCGAGCTATGTTCTGCGAGCTTACAAGCAGCTCTTTGTGATCGGATATTAACATTCTGATTCCTCCCGTGTCCTCTTTTCGACAAACAAAGAAGGTGTATTTTAAGTTGAACTGTGCATACAGGAAATCTGAATGAGAAACTTTAAAGCGGCCCATTGCAAACTGATGAAACTGACCTTATTGAAATTGATTCACAAATTAGAATCCGTCAGCATTATATCGAATCGCTTACAGTTATATGTATTTGCACAAAATGTTCACAAGCGGATTCGACGCGGTTCTACTGAAACGTTATTAGAATATTGTAGGAATATGGGATATATTAATTTAAGAATTAAACTAGATTAATAACACACAATATACGAATGTGGATATCTAAAAAAGATAGCTGTACATTATTTTATAAAAAAATATATAAAACTGAGAGATTGTCAATCTTTTCTACCTTTTATTCGTAGTATGTATGTACCTGACCTCGTTGAAAAAATTCTTCTTAAATATGTACTTTAAATTATTTTAAATATTCTCGAGGAAAAATAATAAGAGAGAAACGTTCGATCAGAGGGTGTTGTGTTGGCGCAAAATAACTACAGGCATCTCGCCGTCTGCAATTATTTTCGCAAATTGTATGCTACCTCTTTCTATGACATTCAGCAATAAACATAACACTAGATATAATATTAGCAAATTAATAAAATTAGTATGGCTCATGTGATAATGTGATAAACACAAGTTTGAAGGAATAAAGGACTGACATAAGAGTCGTGACAGTGTGTTAGTGTCTAAATATTTCATTGCAAATATATTACGAAAAACTATTACCTCAGCCAGAGTTTGAACCTGTGCCTCCCTTCTCGCTGGGCGGGCGTCTCAACCAATTCGACCACCGAGGCACATGGAAATATTCATCGCAATAAACAGTCTAATGATGATTCCCGAATGCCACCTATCGTGACAGTATTCGTAAACTATATAACACTAGACTGCTATTTTTTTTTATTCCAATTTCAGATGGCAATATATTCTCCCAGGAGAAATATGCCAATGTTGTACAGAAATTGTTCAATTCTCCCATACTTAAGATGATAAATACGTACATATATATATACATATAATACATTGATAGACTCTAAACGAACGTTATAACGTTGCAGCGAACAATTATTATCCAGCAATTTCTGTACACCTATGCGAACGTTTGATGTTTCACTAATTTCTTGAAAAGGCCATGCTCCAGATTCATCAACTCGGTATAAGTGCCAGTTTCCGCCACTTGTCCTCCGTCGAGCACCACGATTTTATCGGCATTTTTTATTGTACTCAGCCTGTGAGCGATCGTTATCACCGTCCTTCCGCGAATAGCACGTTCTAAAGCCTCTTGAACGAAATACTCGCTCTCCGCGTCTAAGGCACTAGTCGCTTCGTCAAGTATTAAAATTTTTGGTTTCTAGAGGAGAAAGAAACGAAAGACACGTATTACTTCGAAGAGTTGTTATTCTAATAATTCTTTAAATGACGATTTACCTTTATTAGCGCCCTGGCAATGGCGACTCTTTGACGCTGCCCGCCACTAAGGGCAATGCCCCTTTCCCCAACCATCGTGTCCAATCCATCGGTCATTTTCTCCGCGAACTGCAACACATGCGCCTGCCTCGCGGCCTCTTCCACGTCGGCGTCCGTCGCAGATTCCATTCCGTACAATATGTTGTCCCTTATCGAGCCGCTGAAGAGAACTGGCTCCTGGGATACAATGCTAATCTGGGACTTGACCCACGTGGGATCGAGTAACCGGAGATCGTGCTTGTCCAGGAGTATCGATCCCTCGGTAGGGTCGTACAGTCTCAACAAGAGCGTCGCCACGGTGGATTTGCCAGAGCCCGAGGAACCAACGATAGCCATCACGGAACACTTTTCTATATCTAAATTGAAACCTTTCAACACGGGCATCTTCTCCCGCGTTGGATACGCGAAGTGAACGTCTCGGAACGCAACGTCGCCCGACAATTCTCTCTCTAAGATTTGCCCGCCCTGAATGGGAATGAGCGGCTGCCGATCGATCAGCTCGAATAGACGAGCGTTCGCTCCCAGAGCCTTATTTAACTCGCTGTACGTCCTGGACAAGCCGTTCAGAGATATGCCCACGTACCCGGCGTACAATAGAAAGGCGCTCAAGCTTCCGATCGTTATATCGGAGCTCGAGACCATGAACACGCCGTTATAAAGGACCGAGAGAGCAATGGCGTTGCCGGAGAGACCGGTCATGCCGAAGAACAATCCTCTGTATCGGCTCTCCTTGTAACACAGCTTGAGAACGTCTTGCAGTTTAGCGCTGTATCTCTCGATCTCGCGTCTTTCCTGCGCGAACGCCTTGACGGTCCTTATATTGCTGATCCTTTCCTCCGCCGTCGTGTTGACCACCGCGAGACTGCTCTGCAGATCCTTGGAGATTTTCTTCAAGACGCGTCCACAGATGACAGCGACGACCGCGACAGGTGGTACGATGGCTAAGCCGAGTAGAGCCAGCGGTGGCGACACGTAAAACATCATAGACACTCCTGTGACTGCCATTATAGCGGAGCGCAAACCATCCGACACGTTGGACGTTACAGCGGAGCTGATAAGCTGTGTATCTCCTGCAAGAAAGGATAACGAAATCAAGATGAATTCTGACATCTCGACGATACATTGGCCCGTATTCTCAACCCTCTTTCATCGATAAAAGCGCCTTTAAGGGCCAGTTTCACAAACGTCTGTTATAAATGATTTTAACTAAGCGAGCACGTTCGCACGTTACAAAGTTCCGAGTTGATATTTCTTGCGAAAAATATTACCTCAGCCAGGGTTTGAACCTGGACTTTCCTGAGTAGGGATCAGAAGTATTGTTAAAAATGCCAGATATGGTCAAGAAAACACTGTAGTTGTGAAATCTTTTACTAATGCCCGTTTCTACCAATGCAGATTAACTGTAATCTCCTTTACCTCTCACCTTTTTCTGATTCGCAAAACTAGAAAGAGATACAAAGCAAGTTGAATCAAGATTAAAGTTAAACTGCATTGGTAGAAACAGGCACAAGTGATGAAACCAAACTCCCTTTTTAGATTGATGTCCTGTATCAATATTTACATACTTTCCTTTGCATTTATACAATTTTATCGTCACTTTCTAAGGCAAACTACTCACATCTCAACAAAGATTGACCGAAGAGTTAGGAACCAATCATAGCTTTCAATGTGGCCACGAACATAGCGCACAAAGCGTGGCTCTCTTTACGAAACGTACCGCTCAATCTCCCGACAAGTTCTCCCGTGCTTTGCCTGTCGAACATCGCCGTTTCCTGTCGAAGGATAGCGGCGTACGCCCGCTTCCTGAGAGACTGCGTGATTCTGTAGCCGGCCGTCGACATGAGATAAACCCTGCCGAAGTTGCTCACGCCGCCTATGAGAAATACTACAAACAGAGCAAGCGTTAGCCGATTAAGGTTTTCCTTCATGTTCGTTTTTTCCACGGTATTGACAACGTCTATCACTTTGCCAAAGCAGAACGGGACCGCCATTGTCACGCTGGACGACACGAGCAGCAGGGCGACGGCCTTCATCAGGGTCCACTTCTCGGGGGCGGCGAGTAAGATCAGCGTCCTCAGCTCCGAGCGTCTCCTCGCCTTAACCGCGCGCACCACGGCGTCGGTGCTCGCGCGGTGCCGCAGTCCGATGAGCACGTGGCCGCTCCTGGAGAGCCTGACGGCCTGGCGAGGCAGGCACGCGCCGAACAGATACCTCTGCGCCACGTCGATCCCGCATCGTCCCGGTCTCCGCAGGACACCAGGACTGGACAACAATTTCCAGAGAATCGTCATGTTACACGCGGCCGGACTGTCGCAACGCGCGACATGCGGGAACCGAGCGGGTGATAAACGGACGGTCTCGCGGCGACGGAGATCGGACTTGGAGCGGAGCTAACCTAAAAAAAACAACAGTCGCTCGTCACAATATTGTCATCGCCGGCGTGCGATCGGCTTTTTGCCGGAAATGGTCCAGCGACGTTAAACTTCTAGTCCCGATTGTCCTGCCGGCTGGTCAGAAGACAACTCTCCTAACAGCACAAACCTTGTACACGCCGATCGGACGGGAGAAATTCATCGTGGAATCATGGTCGAATTTTCGAATGTGGCCAAGTAGGGATGCGCCATCTTGAGTCGATTCTGTCGATCCCTCGAATCGATTCCTCGCTGTTTCGATCTCGTACGAGTCGATCCTTCGCGCTCAGAATCGCGCGTCCGGGCTGGACGATAATACAGGGACGCGACACAAGTAATATACAAAAAGTAGTAGAGAAAGCCACAATTTCCCTGCCCGATTATTAATAACAAATGAATATTTCGTAAACGTGGAAATTATACGAGTCAGCCATTCTGCGAAAGCTATACATTGACAATCGTAACTGCGATTCCTACTCCATAGAACATTGCCGAGGCGACGTCGGCTATTCAGAAATCGGGCCGCGAATCACCCGCGAAGTCGAGAGAGATGGATCGCGCGGCACCCCGGTGGTCCCTTCGCGAGGTGTAAAATGGCAGAAATGGCGAGAGGTTTCGCCGCGCACACGCACACACGTACAGTGGACGCAAGGCTCGTTGTCAGGCAGGTGTGAGTGCGCTCTTTTCTATATTCGCTGTCGCGCATGTGCGCGCACACGCTTACCCTCCGCGCACGGTGCGCGATGGTGTACAAGACGCGCGCGCGCGCGCGTCCATCATGAGTCACAGAAGCCGCGGGTCGCCTCTCTCCGGTGGGCCGCGTTTCGTGATCGAGCCACCCTCGCACCGACGACAGGCGGAAGTGCGACTGTAGACCCGGGAGCACGTGGGTGAGATCGCTCTCCGTTTCGGGAGGCTCGCCGCCGCCGTCGCCGTCGCCGTCGCCGCCGTCGCCGCTGCCGCTGGAGAAGATGGCTCTGGCAGCCGGTAGTCGCGTCCCTTCGCTCGCCGTCGTCGTCGCCGTCACCCTCGCCCTCGCCGTCGCCGTCGCGTGCACCTAGTGTCGTGCGCGCCTCCCTCCTCCCGCGCCCCTGTCACCGCTCCCTCGCACGCCTCCTCCACGCGGCGGACCCTCAGGCGTTGTTTGGGCGGCCCGCTCGCCGTCGTTCGTCTTCTCCGTGCTCTCCTCTGACTGTTTCGCTTGCGATGCGCCTCTGTGAGACCCCTTGGAGCACGTCGGTCCCGGGACGGGGGTCTGTAGCGATCGTGGCTCGCGGGGAGTCCCGTGAGCGCTGAGGGTACAGGAGGGATAAAGGAGAGGAGCGGAGGATCGAGAGTCGCGGGCGGTTGCGCGCGGATGTTTTGTATCCGTCTGACTTCCCCTTTTCGCACTAAGCATCTCGAAAGGTGAGTCGTGCCAATACAGCTGCATATCTAGCCACCCACTTTTATGCCGCGCGAGCTTTCCCTTTGTCCGAAGATTGTTACGGATGATACGAATGTCATTGTTCGATCTCTTCGCTGGCCGTTCCTGCGTTTCAAAGCCGACGTACACGTAGATCTGCGGCGGGAGTGATACAATTTTAACAAACGGACCCCTTTTGGAATAGTTTATACATTGTTGTAACCGCCGTCGGCTAAAACGTCTGCCTGTTTCCAGTTACCTCGCTGTTACCGCATACAAGCCTGGCGGGCGAAACCATGGATCAGACGAGAAACAGGCCGAGCAGGCCGCGACTGCGGTCCCATGGCAATTCCGCTAGGGTGCTCGTGTTTGATCAGAGCGAAGCCGAGGAAACTGCCAACGTGGAAACGGAAATGCAGAAACGTCCGGCACCGCCAAAATTGGAAAGCAAGGAGGCTCCAGTTCGGCCCGGTCAGTTTTCTTCTGTATTAATGTCCACTGACCTTGTCATTCCTCACCGTTCTTGCAAAATGATTTATCCCGTTGAGCTGTGCGACACGTGATTGTATGAATATCGTATGATTTCAGTTAGCGGAGAGCTGTCGAATCTTGTGCGCATGAGAAATTCCGCGATAGGAAAGTCGGCGCCTTCTCTGTCGGTCCACGTTAGTATGTTTTCGATCGGTGGTGATGTTGGCTTAAAAAGTCACTTCAACTCTGCGGATCGCCAGTATTAAAATATCAAATTAAATCCTTGATCGACCTCAAACTGGCGAAAATTTATTTAGCCAGAAGCACAACGTTGATGAAAGGCCTGATCCAAGTTCCAGCATCGTGGACACAGGCCTTGACCGCAGGCCGAAACCTTGTGTTTTTCGCTAAATGAATTCTCGCCAGCTCGAGGCCGATCAATAATTTGAGGTGTTAACTTACTTGCGCATACCTGACAGTAACGTTCGTTTTTCTAGCGTGACTTCAACATTTCTCGTCGCGCTGCTAAGGCGGCTCATCGCAAGTCTCTCATCGCCACCACGTCGCCTACCTTACCGCGTTGCCATTCACCTTTGTCAGGTGTGTAATTTTCATATCTTTCCAATCTTTAAGAACGTTTCTTTCTTCAAGTCTGAAAAAAATACAGGGATGTTATCTAAAATAGTAATTGAACGTAAACACAATTTATTTGATTTCGTTAGATTTAGAACACGTTGAAATATTTCCCGTCCGTCTAGTGTCCTTGATGAGTTAGATCTCGAAAGAATCCCGCGTCGTAGACTTAAATCTCGTTCTCCGCCTAGCGGAGAGATTGTCTTTGCCGTTCACTCGATCACTCGGCGATACAGTAGATTAACTTTTTCTACTGCTTGTTTCCCGATATAGCATTCGTCCCGATTGTAGGCAGTCCCCTAGAGAGCCCTAGGATGTCATCCAGTCCACACTTTGCTTTTGCTCCAATTAAAAGGTACTTACTTTATATTTATATTTGTCTTGGGACATTGAAATTAGCCCGAGCTGATTGCTCAAGTAGGTAGGGTGACGTCGTTGTAAGCGCTATATCTTCCGCGCGTTATGTAAATAGAAAAGAAAAATGGTGAGGCAAAAACTGCGCTGTGCAAAGTTTGCGAAAGGAAGCGAGAGCCTGATGAAGAAATGCTTGTAAGTTTCCACGCGACGTAAACTTTAGAGACACGACGCGATGCCTCAATGTCCCCTTACGATTCGCTTCTGTAAGATTCTTGAGAAGGGACTGTTAAATGAGCGTAATATTATGATATTCAAGAATTGGCGGAGGTGCTACAGGAACTGGCGATGGCAGGAGATGGTCAGTTGCCAGTTTACCGTCCAGTGGCTACGGAACGACGCCTGGTTCCAGCAATGTTTCGGTAGGTCGATTGATATGCGCGCAACACCTCCCGTCCGCCCCAACTACGATTCTAATTCGCCATTTGTATTCCGCCAGTCACAATATTCGAGTCAAGAACGTTTGCATCAACTGCCGAATGTTCCCACCAAGGACGAGCTACGCATGTTGTCTTGTCATTTCTCCAAGCCCGGGACACCGTGCTCCTCGCATCCGGGCTTCCCAGGTTCTAGCATATCTAGTATTCCGGGCAGCGCGTCTCTCAGCCTTGAAGAGGAAGGCCGTCGGTCGCCGTTACATCGCCCACGTTCCCGAAGCTTGAGGTACGGCGCACGAACCGATCGCACGTGCGATCCGTTAAAATTTCTTCAAATCTGCACAACGGTTTTTAATTGATCAATGTTAAGTCGCAATTAATAAACCGACAAATATGTTAATCGTCTGTAATTTTTCTACAATTGCAGCAGTCCAAGTCGATCACCCGTTCTTGACAGTGAAATTGTTATGATGAACACTTTATACAAAGAAAGGTTTCCAAAGGTATTTTCCATTAATTCTTTGTTTAATATCAAAGAATGTTAAAATAGCCGATTGCGTCAAGCGCGATAATTACATTTTCAGGCGACGCAACAGATGGAAGAGCGACTGACCAATTTTATTAATGAAAACAAAGAGATAGATGAATACGAGGTAGTGGTTAACATGACGCAAGACTCGTTACCAATTTTACGCTTTGTGCATCATCAAGTAATCGAGATGGCCAGAGACTGCTTGCAAAAATCTCAGGAAAAATTAATTACAACGAGATACTTTTACGAGATGAGCGAGAATCTGGAACATCTATTAATGGAGGTGTGCCGCTTTTTTTGGACTGAGTGTATAAGGATTGAAGATTAGTTTCTTCAAATTGCCAGTATAATAACAAAATTCCATATTTCATTCGACCACAGCTGGTCGCATTTGTTAATTAATCGGTTAACGCAAAAAATTTATTGCGAAAAATACTACCTCGGCCAGGGTATGAACCTGGACCTCCCTCACTCTCTGGGCGGGCGTCTCACCAATTCAACAACTGAGGCATGTGGTAATATTTGTCGCAATAACAGTATAAAGATAACATCCTCGCGTCTGCGTTAACAGATTAACAAATGTGGCCAGCTGTGGGCGAATGAAGTTTGGAATCGTATAAGGATTATTGCAATTCTTTTGCAGACGAAAGATAAATCTTTAGAGGCGGCGACGAGATTAACAGGATTAATAAAAAAATTACTATTAGTCATATCGCGTCCAGCTCGTCTATTAGAGTGCTTGGAATTCGATCCTGAGGAATTTTACCATTTGCTCGAACAAGCAGAGGGCCAAGCTAAAGTCAATGTGGGACTAAAAGCCGATATTCCTCAATATATCATTACAAAACTGTCCTTAAATAGAGATCCTATATCTGGTATACATTTCTACCTTTTTAAATCAAATCGCAATGTATTTTTAAAGCAATCTATTATTTAATCTTCTTACACGTTCAACTTATAGAGTTGCAGGAAGACTTGAATAAATTAGAGGATTCTGCGAGTTCTAGCGACAGTAATTTGCAAGTGGCGTCAAGTCCGAATAAAGACGATGACAAGTGTCAGCGTATTCCGTGCGAAGGTGATTACGAAGTACTGAAGCTCATCAGCAATGGCGCGTATGGCGCTGTGTATCTAGTTAAAGAGAAGACTACGCGGCAGAGATTTGCCATGAAGAAAATCAATAAGAATAATTTGATGCTACGGAATCAAGTGGAACAAGTGTTTGCCGAAAGGGATATAATGAGCTTCACGGATAATCCGTTTGTAGTGTCTATGTATTGTAGTTTCGAAACTAAGGTATGCGTTTCATTTACATCGCGAATTGTACAATATGACGTGCGTCATTGATCGTTAACGCAATTGCGTGGCCTTTTCAGAAACATTTATGCTTAGTAATGGAATATGTAGAGGGTGGAGATTGCGCGAATCTTTTAAAGAATATAGGTCCACTGCCACCAGACATGGCAAGATTTTATTTCGCCGAGACTGTCTTGGCTGTCGAATATTTACACAGTTACGGCATTGTACATCGAGATTTGAAGCCTGATAAGTAAGACCGTATAAGACATAAAAACAACGTATATTAAATACACGAGAAAAAAAATTCCGATAATCACAAGCTATCTCTTTTCTTTTTAGTTTACTTATCACTGCCATGGGACACATCAAGCTTACTGATTTTGGCCTCAGTAAGATGGGTCTAATGTCCTGTAAGTACGAAATCTCTAATTGCAATTAACAACGGAGTCGGAAGTGAATAAATGTCCGCGTCTCATCTCCAGTGGCAACAAATCTCTACGAGGGTTATATCGACCGAGACACACGGCAGTTCTCGGACAAGCAAGTGTTCGGCACGCCGGAGTACATCGCCCCGGAAGTTATATTGCGCCAGGGATATGGTAAACCGGTCGACTGGTGGTCTATGGGTATTATATTGTACGAATTTCTAATTGGCTGTGTCCCGTTCTTTGGCGAGACACCCGAGGAGTTATTTGCTCACACAGTTAACGGTGAGTTTTCTTCAATCGGCTTTTAGTCGGCTTGATACAAACTGAATCGACACAGTCTAAAGTATTCTCTCGCGAACATACGTTGTACGAAGCAATACAATCTTGTATCTTCCAGACGACATCGAGTGGCCGGACGAGGACGATTGGCCCGTTCAACCTGAGGCGAAGGACATTATAACAGCTCTTCTGCATCAGAGCACTAGGGATCGACTGGGAACTGGTGGGTCGCACGAGGTCAAGGAGCATCCATATTTTTATGGAGTTAATTGGAACAGCTTACTCAGGCAGAAGGCTGAGTTTGTGCCACAACTAGTTAACGATGAGGATACAAGTTACTTCGATAGTAAGTGCCATATATTGCAAGATTTATTCTCCATGTGGACGAATGTCGAGACAACCTGTATGTTTAATACTTTCCTCAATCTATGAATACACTTGAAATCCATGCTAAACAGCTATAATAGCGGTCTAACTTTCTATCTCTTCCGTTATTGAAATACATTATTCTCGTGATATTTCAGCTCGTATGGATAGGTATAATCATGACTTAGGCGATGACACAGACGACACCGATGACTCCCCCTTGTTCGGATCGTTCTCCTCTTACTCGCCTCAGTCGCGCAAGATCTCGCAGACGCGCCCGCCTCAGTTCAACTCTGACGCGGAGTCGGACGCCTCCAAGAAACAGCTGTTCCGAACCGAGCTCGAAGGCACGTTCGCGCAATTGTCCCTCGGGTCGACCGCGTCGTCGGTCACGCCGCCATCCAAACTGACCGAGCCACAGTCCGCGCAATCGGCTGAGAAACATCGGCTGCCCTCCTCGTCAGTGAAGAACAGTTCCTGCGCTGAGAATCAAAGCAGGACCGACAAGCTCAACGCCACGTCGTCGTCCAGCATGACTCACAGCGCTACGGTCTTGTCCGGTAACGAGCCGCAATTGTCGGCCGTTAAGGGCACTCAGGCGGAAAGGGCGTCGATTAATCTGAGCACACCCGATTCCTCGCAAACCGAGTCTGAAGACATTAGTCCGCAGATCCAGAGAAAGCGGCACACGCATGCCCGTGACAAGCTGCCCAGGTTCAGTATATCCGTTGATGATGAACACATGTGAGTCATTCATTTACATCCTCGCGACGCAACACAGCTTTCTTTCGCTCTTTTCTCTTTGATTTGCTCTTAACTCTCGTATACTTCCACAACTTCTATAACTTCTATTTATGTACAAGTAATATTGCAGTTTTCAACTTGCAACAGTAACGTGTTCTTGTATAATAATCTACGTAGCTGCTATTCATGCATTTAATAAATTTGTGATTCATTCAACGTTTATATAATCGTGTCCAATAATTGTAAGATGATAATTTTTTGTTCTCAGATCAGATCTTTCTCACACACACACACACACACACACACACACACACACACACACACACACATCTTCACAATCATATACTTCTCTTTCTCTTTTTATTTCAATTTTTTAACTCGTATAAGTTTCTAATTTCTATACGATATTAATTTATGTACTTCACAGTTTCATAGCATTGTAATTCGTATAACAATCGACATGGCATTTAAATTTTAATACATCTATTCATACATTCTTCTAATAATAATAATTTTCTTTTCTAATATCTTCATTTCTAACTTCTGTGCATAATATCAATTTATGTATTTTATAACATTGATGTAATTTATATAGTAATCGACATAGCCACTTGCATTTTATGTATCTACGATTTATTTAACGAGTAGATATATTCGGTTGTAATTGCAAAATCCTAATTTTTTTAGATTGGATCTCGCAGCGGCAAATAAAGACCTAGCGGAGGAGAGCAAGCACAACTCCAGCACTGACTCGTTTGAGTCCTTCAACGCCATATCCGTGTTACCATCCGCCCGGCAAAAATCTCGATCCGTCATAAAATCCGCCTCGACCAGTGGACTGTCGTTGGTGATCCCGACCAGCGACTTTTCCTGTATGTATCTCGAGAAACAAATGTTTTCGTTCTAGCTGAGGCTCAACTGCACTTGCATCGAGGCTCCTTTTCTTCTCGTAATTGATGGCGAGGCTAAGGCCCGGTTTCACCAAACGTCGCGTAACTTTAATCTTAGTTTAATTCATGTTTGTCTCTTTCTAGAGTAACAGTTGGAAAGAAAGAGACAAAGAACGAATTAAGCTAAGCTTAAAGTTAAGCGACGTTGGTGAAACCGGGCCTTAGAGACGGAAGCTTGTTGCAAGCTTTTTTATATATGTCTACGGGTTTTTTTATTACACCTGGACCGTACATTATTTTTATTTTCCGATGAGGTGGTTCAACGTCTGGTTATTTATTATTTAAAATATGTATATTTAGATGACGCGCCGCTAAATGTTCAACCTATCGAGTCGCCTGGTGGATCGTCGACCGCGTCTTCGAGGGACACTTCTCCCTGTCGTGAGCTGAGTCCTCTCGTGACTAGTCTGAAACCGCCTATTATCATCCGTCGAGGACCGTGCGGCTTTGGCTTTACCGTACACACTATCAGAGTTTACTACGGCGACAGCGATTTCTACACTATGCATCATCTAGTGATGGCACGTATAAATGACTCACGTCAAGTATCTATTAATTCTAAGAATGCTAATCTACAGCGTACTTTACAAACTGCCAACCCTTTTGTGTAACTATCTCTATTGTGACGGAGCCTATTGAATTTTATGTCTTTACATTTATCTAGTTCTATTTGTACTTGTTATCCCGCGTTTTATTTTCAAATTTTATATGTTTCATTTCTCTCTGTCAAGAGAATAACTTTCCTTTTTCTCTCTAAAATATTTTAATCGCAACATTTTTAAAAATTCCTAATATTTAATTGTATATAAATACCTTTTTACAGGAGGTCGAACAGTCCAGCCCGGCATTTGAAGCTGGCTTGAGACCCGGTGATCTCATAACGCACATAAACGGTGAGCCTGTGCAGGGTCTGTACCACACCCAGGTCTTGCAGCTGATGCTGAGTGGCGGCGATCACGTAACGTTACGTAGCACGCCGCTGGAGAACACCAGCATCAAGACGGGCGGTAGGAGGCGTGATCTTGCACAGAGTAAACTGGCTCGCCGTACGCTGCACAAGCAGCGGAAGCAAAAGCGGGATCACTCGGACAAGAAGCGGAAGACGTCCCTCTTTAAGAGAATAAGTTCCAAACGGGCGAGCGTAGAGATGCAGCAGGTACACTGGGAAATTTTGCTTGTACACAACTTGAATACGATTAATTATGCATTTCGTGATCTGTGTTATACATTAACTTGCTAATCACTATGTTAGATTACTAGTCCCGTTGTGCGATGCATCTAATGCTGATTTGTCAATTTGCACAGCGAGATATGTACAGAATTGCGTTTGTTCTTGACACGCTATTGCAAAGAAAAAAAAGAGAGAACCGAAGAGACTAAAGCACCAGCATATTACGCGATTACACTGATTACGTTAAGTGCATTTTCTTTTGCAGCCGTTAACTATCAGTTGTCCATTGTCAGCACCCATTTTGTCCAGCGACAGCAAACCTCCACTTATGGTATGATTTCTTATACATTCGCTCATCTTTCCCGTCGATCTCCATCGATGTCGTTTCTGTTTTGCTACGTCGTTCTGTTGACAACATTGTATTTCTTATGCGATTACACGGCTTTCGAATGCTATTTCCACACTCCGCAAATAATTACTGCGTTCGAGAATTTTTGTACAACAGCCCACGATTGCCAGTTGTTAACAATAACATAAAGTCGTATTATCAGATTGACTCGTTTCACGAAACGAGGTGCTCCACGAGTAAGAAAGGTTCTTGCACCCTCGCACTGATAAATTTGGAAAATTTTGCAGATGGCCGCGGGAATTTGTTCGCCCTCGATGGTCACGCCCAGCCGGTCGTTTCAGTCCTTCACCCGTTCGCAAGAGACTTCGCCGTACTTCACGTCGTGCTCGAAATCCATCTGCAGTCCGTCCCCGCCGACGAATCGCCCCAACGCGGACTCTTATCATTCTACCGGGAACTCGAGTCCGTGCTCGAGCCCGAACTCCTCGTCTCCGGGCTCGAACACGTCCGCGGGTAATCTGTCTGGCATCTCGAACCAGTCGCATTACCAGCGCCCGAGCACTCTTCACGGTCTCAAGCACAAGCTGCACACGGCCGCGAAGAACATCCATTCGCCGAATCGCAGGAAGTCCGTGGGCCACATACCGCTGTCGCCGTTGGCCAGAACACCGAGCCCGTCGCCGATCCCGGCCAGTCCGACCAGAAGTCCAAGTCCGCTGGCATTTCCGACGGGCCATCAACCCGGTAGCTCCAATACTACTCAATCATACAGTCCAGGTATGAAAAAGGGCGCAATTGTACGATTTAACACTTTGATGGTGTGTGTCATGTGATGATTGCGTGCGCGATCAATCAATCAATCTTTAGATTTTTAGCTTTGCCAATGACCAACAAATCAAACTTGTGTGTCCCGGTTTGCACATGATGTGAACGTAATTCTATCCTTGCTTACGTTCCGATCTGAGGCATTTTCTTTATGCGACGCGACAAAGGTTTTCGCTTGGCAACAGTTTCCGGAATAGTCCACTTTCGTCTGTATTGTATACCTGGGGCTCGATCGTGAATCTTTTCTTCTATCGTGAACTTCGATCTCTTCTTCCTAATGTCATACACTGTTGAGCGTCCAACATCGTAATGTTTTGCAATCTTAAGGCCTGTGTCCACGATGCTGGAACTTGGTCCAATGCCTTTACGTATATTCTCACCATTATCTCATTTCCTTAAAATCTCCATCTTGTCATTTAATGTTTGAAGTTTTATGTTTTCTTTTAGTGGACATTTTAAAACTTGTATATAAATTTATACAAACAAAAGAAAAGTAAAGAAAGCGCCGATGTATTTTCGGAAATATTACTGTGGAAACAATGCTGCGTCGACGATGGCTCAAGTCATTGTAACACACAGACTATACACGCGAGCCTCTCGCCTGGGGTGCGAAAGTTCGGAAACATCACCCGGGTGTACTTTCTCTCCCGTTTTGCAACTCGCATATTCTCCTTAAATGAAAAACGAAATCGTCTATCATGTACAATGTTTTGCAAACACAAGTCAAAATTATAAATCCAAAGTTCATAACATGTACGTCAGCGGTACTTTTACTTACTTTTAATGTTTATTATATCGTTGAGTAATGTAATGATTTTGCGACACTAGGAGCGTGTTTATCAACGCCGAACAGTCAGAAGAAGGGATATGGTCGTCCGAAATCCGCGGAGCCTGGCTCGCCGCTGCTCCGACGAGCGCTCAGTCCCGATCGGCTGCATCCGCGCTCGGCGGAGAACAAGACGTCGATATCGCCGCTGGCGAACACCGTGGTCAAAGTAACACCACGTGTGACCATTGCACAGTCGTCCCACAACAGCAGCGATACCTGTTCGGACGAATCCAACGACAGTTTCAAGGAGGCCAGCGAGGGCGCCAAGGGCGAGAAAAAAGTGCCAAGTGAACAGAAAGCGGACTACTCTAAATTGACTCACGGTATCTCCATCAATTTAGGAAACGTAGGCATGTCGAATTCCTGTGGTAGCACGCAACTGCCGCGAATAGCCGAGGAGAAGGACTCGCCAACGGGCACCAAGAGTGACGATTACTCGTCGTCGAAGGAGATCGGCACGGAGAAAAGCGACAAGCAACAGTCTACGTGCGGTAACAATCAGTCGGGGAGCGCGGAAAAAGCTCAGAGCGATGAGCGCCAAGCGGTTGCCAGCGGCAGCAGAGTATTGCAGCACAATGAAAAGGAAGATGCAGCCGCTCAACATGGCGTTCCGCATGCGAACGCGCAGCAAGCAATCAGTGTCGCTGCTATACAGAAGAATCTGGATCAGAGACATTGTCAGAGTGACGAGAGATCTGTCGTAGCGCCGACATTGTCACACAAACCGCTCGTCACCGAGCAGAAAAACATTAGCAAGGGTAATACGGAAGAGATTAAAAAGACATCCAAGAAATACAAGTCCGACTCTGGCGACGGCTCCCATTCTGGCACGCACGAGAGCAACGCAGGGCTGGGGAGAGATAAAAAGAACTAATTAATTTCGTGCTTTCGAGTAAATTGAGGCGGCACCGGTTTTCTCTATACAGCGGAGAGTCTTGAATTACCTGTGTGTTAATCAAACGTGAAATAAGGCGAAAGTTATCCCTCGCAGAGTTTAAATAACTTTGTCGAATAAAATGTTAACGATCATACGAGAGATAAGAGACTAATCAAAAGAAAAAGAAAGGAAAGAAAGCGAAAAGGGTGGAAAGATCACAGATTTTGAATTTATATAGCTTTATGGAACTTCTATATTCAAACTTATAGGCTTCCGTCAAATGAATACCTGAAAGCGATCAAGATACTTATATATATATTTCCGAGAAAAAAAAGGTTTTAATCTATTTCCGTAAGATATAATGTTTGTCATGTACAAGATACGCTGCAAACCTTCAAACGAATTTACAAGATGAGAAACAGATTATTTTAACTGTCAAGACGCAAAAACTCAAAGTTACTAACTCGAAATCACAAAATTACATATTGAAGTTGTTCTAACAGTGAGACGATTGGAGTGATTTTATGCTTCGGGCTACAGTATTTACACGATCTCATTTACATTTATATCTAAATAATATTAGCACGTATACACACACATGTACTCATACACATCATATACAAAACACACACACAACGCAACACATATTCAACATAGTATTCAATGGCTCGCATACAATGTCCCGTGTACGCGAAATAGTTTTATAGCGTATTTATTTTTGAAGAAAGGGTGAGAAAAAGCAAAGAGAATCTATGACGCTATTTTGTTGCGATGGTTTATGTAATATACAAGATGATTCCGTTGCGCGTAATTATAAAATTAGAAGTGCAGTGACAAAAAATTAAGAAGCTAAATAATTTTCACCTGAATTATTCAATGCGTTCCGTTCCTTGATTGTACCGTAGTTGATTGCACTGACTGCAAAATAAATGTGTTTTATTCAACGAAATATTATTCTTTTATCCAGTACATTCAATTACATGCAAAGAAGAAAGTTACTTCAGCACATATAGGGAGAAAATTAAATTGAAAGACAAAATTACTTAAATATATAAGTATATAAGGAGAGCAACTGTTTCGTTTCTTAATTTGCTTCTCCATAAGTATTTGTATTGTCACGAGATGAAGAGATGCAATTGGTGCTTACACATTTGCGTAACTCAGGTATCCTGTCACTGCTTAGGCCCGGTTTCGCCAAACGTCGCTTAACTTTAATCTTAGTTTAATTCACGTTCGTCTCTTTCTAAAGTAACAATTGAAAAGAGACAAAGACCGAATTAAGCTAAGCTTCAAGCTAAGCGACGTTGGTGAAACCGCCCTTAATACCCTAGACAGCTAAACTTGCTAAAGCAAATTTTGTCAAATGCTTCTTAAAAAGTTTTGTGAGCGAAAAGACATAAAATTTGATACAAACTCTGTTGTATCAAACGGTGTCAACAAATTGTCAATAGAAACACAATCGAATCTGTTGACATACTCGTGATAGCAAATTGTCGTCGAAGAACGAGGAAAGCTTAACGACAATTTGCAAGCTTTACTCGATGCTTGGCGACAATTTACTGTCGTCAAACTGCGCTGTGCAAACCTTGCTTGATTTTTGGTGTCGATTTGCTGTCACGTTACGTCCGTAAGGTTGCCAGCGAAACACAGGCTAATTGTGGACACGTATTATAATATTTGGCACCAGTTTTGAACGAATTTGATGCCAATTTGGCGACAATTTGCCTACTGAGTCTTTTTCTGTAGTGGTAAAAAAGTACACGCAGTATGGATACTGACATTAAATGTTTATCGTCGCGGAAGCATCTTGCATACTTATAAATTATAGAGACAGCAGAGATATACGAAAGATTGGAGCTCGGTATGCACTGTAATGCATTGAAATTTTAGTATTAGTCACTATTAATTTATTGTACATATAATGCTGTACATTAGTCGCAATACATTTTAGTTGGTAGAACGTTGTCACTGAAATATTTAGCGCCAGCACACGTTTTTTTTATTGTAAATTGATTAAGCTCGAATTCGTCTTTGCTCGTTGTTACACCAATGCAAAGTCGATAAAAGAATGTATGCTTCGGACCTTTGGTGAAAAACAAGCTTTATCTCTGCCATAGGTACAACTCGTTCATATTGTATGGCGATTTGATACTTGTAACTTTGTCGTAAACTTCGTCAGCACGATAGTGTCCAATTAGCTAAGAATTTAATCGTTTATTTTGCGAATCAATAACGCGCGCTAACATTCGTGAAATTGTCAGATTTTGTAATAAGTTATGTGATTAATATAAATTTATGTTTATTACAAATTTTATTATTAATAAAAAATTAATAATATTAGATCGTTGGCGTATAGACATTGATTAATGATAAATTAATGATTAACGATTAATAGATTGATAATTATTAATAATATTAATGATTAATAGATATTGATGACTGATAGATATTAATGATTAATAGATATTAATAGATTCTATTAATGATTATTACTAACGATTAACGGCATCACACAAATTCTATTTATTAATAGAAGTAAATCGATAAGAAGAGCTTTAAGAAGTGCTCGCTTGTTGTAGAATTGAAAGTCGGCTTAATTTGGCCTGAGGTAATATGCCATTTACTCCGCAGCCCGTCCAGTTATACGAATGTTAGCGCCCACATCACGTAACACTGCTCATAGCGATAAAGTTTACTCTAAATGTCTATGTTGCTCATTAGTTGAATAAAATGCGATACGATAATTTATCATTCGATAAAAATAAGCTGCTAGAATGTAAGGATGTTTAAAGTAAAAATCGTGCTCGCGTGTTGAGCGTTTTAACTTGTAGAGTCTCGAAGAGAAAGAGAGAGAGAGAGTCGCGAACGATTCTCGGAGCGCGGTCCCGTGATATTCGTTTTCTATTGTTGAAATTATTTCTAAATCTTCACGGCATACATATATAATAGGGTGTGTATTTGTGTGTGTACGTTCAAGTTTCGCGTTGGTATTTATGTATTTAAATCGTTAATTTTGTTATAAGATGAAATCGCGCGATTTCACAATTCCTCTATCCCGTGAATTTTGAACACTCCGAGATCGAGTTTTATTTAACATATTCGACAAATCTCCTTATGTTTAATTTTCACGATAAACCGTACGAATCGGGTTGATGAACTTCGGCGTAACGCGTTAGAGCGATAGTTAATATTAAGCTGAACGAGAAGTGATGCTAACTTTAATTAGATCGTGCATTGAGCGTTATGGCGTCGGTTCTCACTATGCATATAAGATTTCGCGTCTCCGTCTTGTTTGTACATTTTTGCACGTTGTACACGTTACTGAATCACTGATATTAACACGTCGATGTCCGCTATGTGTCTAGCTAAGACCTGAAAAATTATTATCGTAAACTTGTGCTTTAAGAAGCGGCTAAGTTTTCTGAATGCACCTTGCGAGCCATATATATTACAATAAGAGAAAAGCGAAGCGACAATTTTCTTTTTCGATCTGCGAAATCGACAGTTTGTAAGTCCCAGTGAAATTATTATTTTACATTGTTAAACGCTTTTTTTCTTAGTTCACTGTTAGCTTATTATGTTAGTCGAGTCATTTCCGTATTGTGAACTTACTGTGTTTGAAAAATTGTTAGTTTTTCATGTAATATAATTAATGTTTCTTCTGGATTGTAGACAATCTATTGATGTGTATTGACAAGGGGGAATAGGGGGAGGTCATGGCTAATCGATGCGTCGCAAATTCTACAAATTCGAGGGCGGAAATATTTATTCGACCTAAGTAAATCATATTTCGCTGTCCTTTGACATAGAAAGGCGATATTGGGCGATTCTTTCGAGGCGACGCGATCGATCGTAATCGAGAAATCAAGTCCTAAAAACTGTGAAGGAAATGCTGGATGTTTCCGCGTAAGTCTCGCGCATTAATGCGAAATGGCTGATATCGTTCACATAGGCTGTCGTAGTTGTATAGCGTATACGTTATTATTATATATATATATATATATATATATATATATATATATATATATATATATATACATATATATATATAAAATAAAATGCAGCATCGTTGTTTTCGTTTGATTCGCGTAGAAAGGGAAGAGGAGCAGGGAGTCATTTTCATTGTCGTTACGCTTACAATTAAATGTGTAAGCGAAACACGCTAATCGCTATGAGATAAGATGGGGAAGAGAGTGACTTCGACTTTTAATATTGCATGTGAATTCCTTCTCGTAAAAGCCAATCGTAGAGATTAAGAATCGAACGTACAATGATCTTTGCGAATGGAACGAGCAACCTCGTTGCAAATACGTGTATATGCGTTTACGTATGTGCGCGCGAATTTTATTTGTGATCCGTCGCGAGATTCTCTTCGAACGAATTGTGACGCACGGAAATCGAATCTGCGGCTCCGCCGACTTCATCGGAAACCGCGGAGACGACGCTGATAATCGCAAAATTAGCGGGACAATGCCGAAACGAGCGGGACTCTACAATTTTATTTTAAAACTCTTGGATGTGCTCTCGCCGCAGCCGCGTTGAATCGTGATGTGATGTCAGAAGCGAGAAATGACACGCTGAGTATTCTTGCGTGGCGTTTTCAAAGATATTTGGAGACAAAATCACTTCAAATCGCTGCAGTGCACTTAAAATATTCCAAAAAACCAACCTTTTCTCTCGACAGTGGATAAACAGCCATAAAATGTGAATGTAATATCAATCCCGGTGATGAGTAAGCTTGCGCATACGCCGTGTCGTATGACCAGAATTCGTATTACATTTTACGGCTGTTTAACAGCTGTCAAGAGAAAAGGTAGGATTTCTGAATATTGTGTGTTAAGGAGAGCTGAAATATTCTTCTAAATATTTTGTTATTTGCAAGTGTCACGTAAGAGAATTCCCATCAGCGTGTCGTGTTTCGCTTCTGCCGTCACGATCCAACGTGGCAGCCTCCCTGGAGCCTCAAATACGATTTGAACAAGTGATCGGACTCGCTCTCAGATATTTTCGCACCGGGAACTTCTCGGGATCATTTCGTTAGCTTCTACGCCTGTAAGTAATTGCGACGAGCGGCGAGAATGCCCGTGTCGTTTGCAGGGCGTTACTTCTTTTTCTTCCTTACCTTCTTTACACATTACAGTCTTTGTTGGAGATAATCGTTCGATTCTCTTTCTGCTCGCGTTTAGCAGCCCGGCGGTCGAAGAAGCGTTGGCTACACGCGCGCACACGTTTACCGTTTGTATTGTCATCGAGATCTAGCGAGGGATTGTACTCAAGTGTGATTGTAACAAGATTCAAATTTGTATAAATGCCAATGATTCATCGTCTTGAATTTGTCGTTGTTTAATTTATCCATCTAATTTACACGTTATTATCCGGCTAACTTAATTAAGAATATAGGTGAATTTTGTTAAGTGTTTGCTACAAATTTGTTGACAGAATACTAGCGGAAATATAACAGATTATAGGTCGGTTTCACCATCTCCGATTAAGTGTCAACCGCGATCGGTCAATTCTGCTTACGGTAAATGCAATAAGTCAATGGGACACTGAAATTTAATCGGCTGAATACATTAATCGGAGATGATGGAACCGACCCTCTGCTGAGAACATGATGGCAGATTGACAAGCAGAATCTGTCGTTTCGTAATCATTTAAATGATGTAATCCATTGAAATGTTTACAAAATGACAGATTTCCGTTCAATTTCTGCCGATATTTTTCTGTTAGATTATATCAAGTTGTATCCACGAAACGAGTTTAATCGCCTTTTCTTATCTCAGGAAGTAGTCATCTTTTTACGTAAACAATCGCTTGGCGTAATTTTTGCCTTGTAAATTTTTATTATAGTTATTTTAAATTAAACTATACCAGCAACACTGAAAATGTTACAGGTCTCTTCTGGTCTCATGGATGAACAGCGTAATCATGTTGATGCACTACATAGTATCCTTTTGCACATTAAATAAATTTAATTCAAATAATTCGAATAATTCGCGATGCGGCGTAACACATGGTTATCAGTTTAAACGTATAAAGTGATACCACTATTTGCCTGCATCAACGTCTGCATTATGATATGCAAAGGTTTGAGAAATGAGACACGCGGCTTCCGAACAGATTCTTTTACTCAAGATAGAGTCTTTAATCTCCCATGCCCCACCAACAATAAGATTATCAACAAAATCTCTATAAATCGCGTAATCTGTTGGTAGCAAGCTTTTTGCCAATTTTCACCCATAAATACATTGTTTATACGTGTAAAATTGATAGATTTCTTTCTTTGTTACAGTACCAGCTAATTCGATTTGTTTCGTCATTTATTCGATAATATTTTGGAATCGAGCTCGCCGAAAGCCATTTCTTCAGATTAACGAAGAGAAACATTGGAAATAATTGGAAGTGACTCATTGCGTGAGTTGTTCTACAAATGAATGGAAGTACTTACTTAATACGCAATCTCGATGGCAGTTTTAATTACGATTAGCGTGGTCTCCATCAATAAGTTGTTTCAGGTCTTCTTGGTTTCTGTAAATAGATTTAACACATATTAGTTACATTAATAATATATCGCAAAATGACTATTTTTGAAGGCCAAATCCGATCGCGGATAAAAATATCAAGTTGATAAATAGTCTACGTCTTTTTCCTACATGTATCTCGTACACTGATAAAAGTGAAGAAAACAGATGTCAAAGCGGAAGTTGCAAAATGAATAACTCGTTGAAAGATTAACGCGCTCTACGCATTAAAGATACACATGTAGTAATTTTTAAGTGTTTCCAAAAATTGTTACTTCTAGAATATTTGGAATATTCCACATCGGTCATTCTTATATATTCATCTTATGTTCGTGGAACATTCGACTGGCACTACTATAAATCTTTTTCGAATGTGAATAGAATAATCTATCGAATTTAGCGCGTCGGTTATACATGATATGATCACTGGTCTCACTGCCTTCTGCATAAGATAATTGTATTACACAATAAACAATGTGCAATACATAAACTCGATTAGAAAATTATTCTGAACGAATATTCCAAAAACGTTCTTCTTTGTTATGGATATACGATTTCTATAATTGTAACAATCTATATATATTTATAGAATATTCGATTGGAATATTCTGAAACTAAGAATATTTGCACTCCAAAAGAATATTCACAGAACTATGTGTGCTATCTGGGACTATTGTAACATCATTGAAACATTCAAGATACATTGCAGGAATTGTAACTATAGTCATTACGTTTGAGTAACAAGCTAATATGATTATAAACTGATAAGTGAAGAAAAAAATGGCGAATCTCTCCATTTTTTTCTTTTTTTATTTAGTTTACTAGGTATTATCTCGTTTAATTTACTTTACATAATCGACTCTTATGTATATTACATGTATCCGTACACATTTATCTTACTCAATATCGTCTCATGCATGTACCTTGCATATCTCACTGATTGCTTTCTGAATTTTGCAATACTGCCTCATAAATTTCTTCTTGTTTCTTATTCGATACACTCTCGCACGCATACACAGGCGCATATTTTTATTTATATTTTACTTCAGAAATTTGTATATACGATTTACTTCACAGTTTGTATGCGAAGTTAAGTCATATCTCTGTGAATCACTCTGTATCCAACTACATCTACAACCGGCGCTCTCTCGCATATATGCGTGCGCGTGTATCGCGTCCCACGCGTGTGTACGCGTGATACGTGTTTCGGAGCAGCGATGCCGAGAGCCGGCGCGATACGAGACGGTCTGCGGTGACTGTGGCGAGCATTTAGCGCGCTGTGACCGCTGCGCGGTCCAGTGGTCCAGTCGATTGGAAGGAGTCGCGAGAGAATGAGGCTCGTTCTGTCGCTCGTGGCCCTCCTCGGTGCGTGCGCGTGCCACGCCGGTGACGACGCCGAGATCGAGATCAATGAGATCGACGGCGGCCGACCGGTGCCGCAGCACGCGCGCGATGCCACGCTCGCCGAGATCTTCGAGAACGCGGTCCAGGCCTATCTCGAGGAAGATTGGGACGGCTGCGTCACGGGGTTTAACGACGCTCTACGTGGGTACGTCGTTACGATTGTCTCACCGACGTCCATTCCCTCCTCCAGCACTCTCCTCGATATTAATTCCATGAGATATTTTTAATAACAAGACAAAGACTTATTGTCGCCAGTAAATAATTAAGCAAGGAAATTAATAGTCGTCACAACTGGCAAATCCTAATTAAAGAAGTTTATTGCGTAAAAATATTACCTCAACCAGGGTTTGAACTTGGACCTCTCCTCACTCTGAGACGCTCACCTAGACGCTCACCTAGAAACATCCCTATTGTGAATTTACGTAATATTTTTTATTTTAGATATCAAGTGTATAAACGCATGGTGACGATTTGCCGGCGAAAATGCAAGGCCGAGGCGGCAGGGTCCTCGCCGATCGTCGCGGAGGATATTGAGGATCTGCACTTCTACGAGAGAAAAGTGAAGGAGACACTTTGTCTAATGAAATGTAATCAGGATTATCGAGAAATCGCCGGTGCGGGGGCGCTTAGGCGACTCCCACACGCCACGGAGAGGAAATTCATTGACCTTGTCATTTACGAGTATCTCCACATCTGCTATTTTCAGGTACAAAAGGATTGCCTGTTTGACCGAAACACTTTAAGCAATCAGATATTGCAAAACAAAGTAATTTCAAGTTAGCTAGCGCTTTGATCTTTGGACGTACAGATTTCATGTGTGAATCCTCTGGCGGAAAAAATGTCTATAAATAACTGCAAAAGATTGACTTGAAATAGAAACTTGTAGAAATTTTTATATCTTCGTTGAAACATTAAGTTTTTTGTAAAAACATCTACGAAATAGTACCACGAATTACAATATTCTCAAATCAAGAAATTATTGCAAGTGGTATTTTATGAAAATGTACAATTTTGTGAAAATTGGTACAAAACTTTACTAGTTTTAAGAATTTAGACCGGCGTAGACCTAACTGACCTGCTTGACTGTCGCCGCGTGAATGATAGGCGCATTGAGAATAGACTGTTTTCGACGGAAGTGTTTACGGCGCTACGTAATTTCTCGGAAACCGGTTCGACGCTTAAAATTCTAAAACTTTTCGCGATTGATAAACCTCGATAATCGACGAAATTTTTAACAGCAACATTACGGACACAATTTTACTTTTTCATTTTATATGAACACTATAATAATTTGGGTTTGTATTTACAATATTGTTTTATTAGTTATGCAATAACTGAAGCGTGAAACATGAAAGATATTGATTTTATCATATTTCATATTATTTATTCAATAATATTCACGATATGGTTTTTTAAATACGCATAATATGGTACGGTATTTTTTAATTTCATAATTTGCATCGTTCATTTTTTCCAACCGATAAACTTTTAGTCGCGTCGGTCAGATTTGTGTTTCTACAGAAACGTGTGTCTCTACCGAAACTCTGCTCGCCCACGGAAGATCCCGTACAAAAGCATCACGAAAATACCATAGTCCCTGGGTCCTAATCTGGTGGATTACGTAATTACGGCGTAGCAGATATATTTTGCCCGCGTCCGCTGCGTATATTATGACTTAAACAACTCCCGGCTTGACCCGAAAAACCGATTCGTATCATCGTCTTCACTCATTAGATAGTGTAGCTTCATTTTCGAGAATTTACGCATCGCCGTTTATAATCTCAAATCTTTGGAGGTTTTGACATTTTAATTAAAAAAGATCGCCACATAAAATTGACACAAATTAGTTTCCAAAGATTACTATAATAAAAATATGTGCATTTACTATATGATGGAATAAAGTAAAACATCATAGAAATAAAACTGTTAGGCCACGATATTACGTAATCAGTGTATGTTCACGAATAATTTTTTACAGAAAAAAAGATATCAAGATGCGGCGAACGCAGCTTTTACATTCCTGTCTCAACATCCCGATCACGAGATGACCACAAAGAACCTGAAATATTATTTGAATTTACCTGACGTGGCCGTGGAGAAGGTCGTGAATTTGGAGGCGGCTCCCTTCGTGCAAAGGTATGTCCGAGGGGTACAGGCATACGAAGATGAGAATTATGCGGAAGCTGTGGTCGAATTCGAAAGCTCGCTCGAGTCTTACATGGAATCCGAGGAGCAGTGCAGACTCTATTGCGAGGGTCCCTTCGATCAAGGATGGCATCCCGAGTTTACCACTTCGATAGCAAGTAAGACACGAATTGGCTAAATAAGGACAAGTGTATTAGATATAAACATTGTATTTTCCATGATACAAATCTATTAAGTTGCATACTTTTTGTAGCATAATAGATAACAAATTTTCATTATATAATTACATTAAATATTGTGTATTGAATGTCCAATAAGGTTTTTTAGATAAACTGCATTTTTAACATTTTTCCTGAAAGAAGTTTAAATAGAGAAGACTGTTAATAATAATTTAAAAAGTATTTTTTGTATATTATTACTCTTCAATTCCTTTTTAGATCACTTTACGTACTGTTTGAAGTGCAAACGTGGATGTTCGCTTGCGTTGAATAACGTAAACGGCAACTTTCAAAATGATCTGCTCAGAAGTCATTATAATTATTTGCAGTTCGCTTATTATAAATGTGAGTATTTTGTCTTATAATAGCTAATTTTATTTTACACTCGTTAAATGAAATATTCTTTTTGATAGAGAACGAATAAAGACCAAAAGAAACGTAAAGTAGTGGATTTTTACAAGATATCTTAGCTTCAACATTTATGTGAACAATAAAATATTCATTATTATCGAGATAAATTGGCATAAAAAATGTTCTTTAGTTTTATTATATTATGACAAATTATGATATCAATCTTATTCATATTTCAACAAACTAGTACAATTTGGTAGCATAATTTGGGGCACTGACATAAAATGCAAGTGTCATGAATTATAATGACACTTGCTGCAATGTGTCTCCATTCATTAATAGAAGCAAATACCTTAAGAGTCTCCATCAAGTTGTTTCCTGTATCATCCTTTGTCGTTAAAACAATTGGGTTAATTTCTGAATTATAGCTCTAAATTTCAATGTTAGCGCAACATCATTTCAACTACCATGTCTTTTGCACCCCTCGTACTATTTTGTACAATATTTATTTGTATTTTAACTGGCTTTATTTTAAGAAAATTTAATTTGGATTCTCACGTTTTGCTCACTTTCCTTTCTCCTCTCTGACAATTAAATTTCTTACCACTTGGATATATGTACATAAAAATTCAAAGATTTGCATAAATGTGTACACACACACGAGATAAATAAGAAGAGAATATACATATAAAGTAGATATATGTATATATAAATAATAATTCTCATTTATTTTATGCATAGTGGGTAATTTGAAAGCAGCTTGTGCAGCAGTTACGAGTTACTTGTTATTTTTACCTGCTGATGAGACGATGCTTCATAACAAAGACTATTATAGCACCCAACCGAAAGTGAAAGAAGAGTACTTCTCACCAAGAGAGGTATATGAAGAGATGAAACTATTAGGCTCGATTTCACCATCCGTTATCTTTTTCTAACTTATCTTATCCCAGTTTTTCACCAACGTCGTTTAACCTTGATCTTAATTTAATTCATCCTTTATCTCTTTTTAAGATAGCAGAACGAGATAAAGAATTAATTGTAAGATTAAAGTTAAACGGCGTTGATGAAAACCGAGGTTACAGACAAAGAATGAGGCAAGTCAAAGTTAAAGTTAAGCGACGCTGGTGAAACTGTGCCTTAAGTTACAACCTTCTAGAATAAATGATACAAATTTAATATTTAAAATTTGCGACGAAATGTCTACATTTTCATGTACGTTGGAAAGATTCGTAATATTTATTTTCACACAGTATTCCAAAGATTGTAAATTTTCAGCACTTAAAATAAGTAAAAGTCTGCCTGAAAAAAATGTTAATAGATCCCTAAATTTAATGAGAATTGTTCTTAGGAAGCACTTTTCTATGTGAAGCGGCAAGAATACGAGCTGATGCTGCTGTTGTACATATCGAATGAATTCGCGGCAATTGACGCCAGATTTAATGCATTTACCAAGAAGAATAAAATAAATAAAACAAATAAAAACAAGAAGAAAGTTAACAGGAAGGAGTTAGAAAAGGTAAAGTAAAAGACGAGATATAAATAATAAAAATGTGATAATTTATAAATAGAGGAAAGTCCTCTATTATGAGATAGGTTTCTAATATGAGAGAGCAGGTTTTCAACACCTTTTAATCACGAATCTTTTTTGCAATGATTACACAATCTAACAATTAATTTTTCACTAAACAGATTTCGCTCCAAGGGCAATAAATTCATGGCAGAATCATCTGATGATGCCTATTAATTTAACAGAAACGCCGCTATCCCATATTAGGATCCTATCTCATAATATAGGACTCCTCTAATAATTACCTTCGGGGATTATCTATTAGTCAATCGTTCCATGTGATCGAAAAGCTTAGGAAATCCTTTATTGTAAGATATTTCGATTTTTGTTTGAAGGGCGACGCACAAATTTTCCTGAACATCTCATATCGTGCTTAACCGGTATCAGCTAAAAACAGTCGGTGAATTTCCCTGTTGAATGCATTTGCCATTAGACTTAATACTAAAATATTTTTACAATATGTTATACATTTATACCAGAGAAATAATAAATAATTAAAAATAAATTTACCTTTATTATTGTTGTAATAAAATAAAATAATGAATGCAATTGAAATTAGAAAGAGATATTAAAATCAAAATAACAGTTGCATACGGTGGATCTGTATCAGGTCCTCGTTTGAATCGCCTGTTTAAGTGCAACCCTATTTACTTTTGCGTTCATGTCTACATAAGAATGCAGGCGCGAGGAAAAAGATTCGCGAGGCGAGACGACCAACGAGAAAAGAAAATGAAAACTCCGAAAAAATTTCTATCTTTGTTACCACGTTATTATCTCAGTGTCGTATGTGTCATCTTTTTTAGGATTCTTCCTCGAGACCGATCTTGCATCCACCTCCAGGTCATTCGCTGTCCATCCAAACACGACTCATGGGTAATCTGTCCGCGTTTCGGGACGAGGAGGAGACGGGGATGCGAGAAGATCGTGTCATGGAGCACCTAAGGGTCACGGACGATGTGCGATTGATAGCAGGGGAAGATGAGCTCGGCGGAAGAAACCGGTACGCGGCCGATGGTTTCCTCAATTCTACCGATTGCAATTTGTTCATGCGACTCGCCCAGGTATCAGAATCAGCTCCATCACTGATCAATTCCGAATCACAGTCACGAAACATCGTTTTCTTTTCAAGCGGTTTCTTCAGATCTTGATAAGACTCCAATCAATCAAAAGTTCTAAAAGTGAAATTTTAATTAGCTTTACTAAAACAAAAAGGTTCGCGAAAATAGAATATATCGACAAACGTCGATATATTTATAAATTAAATGTTTAAAATATAAATAAAAATTTTAAATGATATTTAAAATATAAATTAAAAACGAAAATATTTATGAATTTCAGATCGCCGTGGAGGGAGACGGCTACGAAGAGAACATAAGTCCGCATTCGTCTTACGAGCGTTTTGAGGGTGTGACTGTTGGCAGAATGGCCTTGGTAAGGATTGTCCGTATTCAGAAATATTTTTCATTGTGTCTGGTGGAAATATTTGGCTAAAAGTACTATAGAATCGACGAGAAGATGTCAATTGAGAGAGATTTTCAAATACATTTCACCAAAATTTCATTATATTTAAAATAAAATATTTCCACTAGGCTTTCTCTCCATATTCTTTGTCCACCGAGTCTTCGACAAGATTGATCGTCATTTTACGAAAGAATAAAATTGTAGATGGTATACTTTGGTCTGACGAAGCCGGAATTATTGAAACTATTCCTGCAACGCACGGAAGCGGCTCGTAGTCACGTGGAAAGGTATTTCGACCTTGATCGACCATTGTATTTCACCTACTCCCATTTGGTCTGCCGAACGGCCTTACCCGGTAATTTTCATCTGACGCATCAGCGTGCTTCTGACGACATTTTCGCTGGCATGTTTGCACCGTAACATCACTTGGTACGGCATTAAACGTATAGACCGGTTTGCTCACAACACTCGGTTTCATTTTCATAACTCTTTTTATTAACAAAGCAATCGCTAGAATAAAAAATATAATAGTAAGATATATTAATATTTGCTTATCGAACAGTATAACAAGCTATCTAAAAAGGGGTGAAAAAGATCAAGTATACGTATCTACTGGTCTTGAGAGAAAATTCATCCTATCTGTGTTTTCAGGCTCGCCGGCGAATCGAACTGACCTTAGTCACGAGATTCATGCTGATAACTGCGTGATAAAAGACGAAGGTCCCTGCTTGCGAGAATATCCCGCGTATACATGGCGAGACTACTCGGCGATCTTATATCTCAACGATGACTTCGATGGTGGCGAGTTTTTCTTCGTCGAAGACTGGAAGAGACTTCGTGTTCGGGGCATTGTTCGGCCCCGGTGCGGACGTATGGTGGCTTTCTCCGCCGGTGGTGAGAATCTTCATGGCGTTCAGGGTGTACGTAGCGGCAGGAGGTGCGCAGTGGCGTTGTGGTTTACCCAGGACGAAAAATACTTGGAGTACGAAAGGTTGATGGCGGATACCGTGTTACAGAGGGTCCGTATTTTGGGTACCGTGCAACGGGAGGATACGCAAGTACCGCTGAGGTAATGTAGAGAATAGAGCTTATTCTACATTCTGTATGTGAAGATCCCTTAAGACACTACGCAGGAAAGGGGAAGAAAGTTAGAAGTATTTAGTCGAATTGGTAAAAGCCATTTGTCACGGATTAGGGAAGATCCAGATCAAATCTCAGTTGATATTTTTGCAAGAAATTCTTTACAGTGACTTTTAAATAGGTTGAATAGCAGAAAAAAATTGAAGTTACTTATCGTTTTGGAAAAAGTATACAAAATTCACACACAGAATTATTATTATTAGGCTACGAAGATTCAGCTCTGACCGTGCATTTCTTTTGGACTTAATGGTTGTCCGAGAAATCTTTAATTAATAAACTTGTATCAATGTTCTTCGATAGATCATATGTTGTCATAGATGTCATAAAGAATTTTGAGTGATAACTTCACGGATAAATAGAGAAATGTATATTTCCACGTCTGTAAATGACGAGATAATTCTGTGACCAAATAAATGCATAAAGATTATAATTAAGAAACAAATACAAAGATAAAAAAAATAGTTGCAGCGATGTACGATTGTTGGATGCTATATAGGATTAAGAATTGAACAGTGGTTTAAAGAAGTCGAGCATATATCTTTAAAAAAATTGTTTTTTTAGATTTTTTATAGATGAAATAAATAGTGATGTTTTTGTTTTAGATATGAAGACATGTTGATTCAATGTTTCAAAGAAGATGAGATGTTGAGGCACATACTGAGAGAATAGCAATTTATACAAGATATAAGCTCTATTTTACCTGCATTTTGAATTAGAACAGTCATAGGTTCAAGTGTCAAAGTGAGAAGAAAGAAAAAGAGGAATATCTTTTGGCAGATGCAATTGACGAACTGATCAATTCGTGATTTGCAAAAGACAGAAGTAATTCAGTTTGATGGATGGCAGTCTAGAGAATAGCACATATCCCTTCATGAATGGCTGGACCATGAAGCTGGAACTCAAGAACTTGCTAATCGTATTTTATAACAATAAATTATAGATCTGTAATTAGCTCTTAAACTTACACGTTAAGATTAACCGAATATTCTATTTAAAGAAACGGACGAGCATAGACGTTAATCCCAGTCTTATTTCCGACGAGTATCCTCTGATTTTTGATTGACATAAGTCCATTATGGGAATGTGCAACGATGATGTTGGGATTTGTCTTGACAGTCTTGCTGTGTTTAATTTAATCGAGTTTCTAGTCGGCACGTACAACAAAATAACACAGACTCTTACATCGTATACCTCTCGCACACGTAGTCAATTATATCTAAGTTATTTTGCTAATTATAGTATTATTTTATGTAGCAAAGTATGTGTAAGCGATGTCGTCGCGCAATTGCACCAGCTGCAACAATTGTTTATAGAAAATATCCTAAATCTTTATTAGAACATGGACATATTACATGTCAACAAGTTTACATAACCGCTCGCTATGCACCACGCAATGTTTCCATCGCTTATCGTTTATTTATAGTCCTCGTATTTATACTATATATAAGAAGTTACACCTGTGTTATATTCGCGATTGCGTCCCCTTCCTCCTTTTTTTCTTCTTATTATTCCTCTTACCGCGAGTTCCGCATACATAGTGGACATTTTATATACGTCTCTTTGTAAAATCAATTCCATCAATTAAGCGTGCGTATGGTATTAATTGTTCGTAATTACTGACGCATCTACATACCACTGACGCATCTACATACCATCGAAACGATCGACATCCGCGATCCGTTCGCGTCCTTATTGCATTTGCAGGCCAAACAAAAGAAACGCACTCGTTAGTGGACAAAGCAAAAAGAATTAGGATTAGGAAAAATGATAGAGGATGAAAATTGAAATACACATTCTTCACTGCTCGAGAAAATTACGATTTGACGTCCCGCATGGGTAGAGCTAAACAAGAGGGGGGACATGATTTCAGTAACTCTGACCATATACATACATTGTACATCAAGGTCACAAGTCCGAGTGTGTTTCCCTGATGGAAATATTTTGGTGAAACTGAAATCAATGAGACGTAAAATAAAAGTTATTGAAGGATTACTGCATGTATCTCAAAATGTATCTCATAATTTTCCATATAAAGTTCAATGTAAGATTGCTAAATGTAAGGAAAGTTAAAGTGTATTGTTGAAAAGTAATTAAAAAATTATGAAATATTAAATATTTTGAAATTTAATAAATTTAACTAAAAACTATTACTGTGTGTTTAATGAAAAAGAAATGAAATTTAATGAAATTTTTCACCGAATTTTTATTGAAATGATAATGAAACAGGGTTACTTGAAAGAGATTTTCAAGTACACTTTAGCAAAATTTCATTATATTTCCTACGCGCAGGTAGAATTCTCAGGGTTTCTATTTTAAAACTGAAACAAATATACGAGGAGTAAGAACGGATTCGATGAATCTTATTTACGAGAAAACAATTCTTCAAGATGGCATAATATTATAGTTTCAGGCCTGTTGTTTTAATGATATTTGGTAGATTTATAAATGCATGTCTTTCTTTTTTCTTCCAAAGTTAGAACATAGAGATCGTTTAACGATCGTTGGATTCGTCTTTACTCCTCTCGTCATCGTAAATATTAATTAAAATGTTTAACGTGCCAATTTTCAGCACATGTAAGAAATATGTAATAAGATTACAGTAACTCCACGTGAAACACGAAATTGAAGAACGTGAGTTATGCTGTATCCCTCGTGCCTCCTTGTCATAGTCGTCATTGTCATTTCGAGATCAGTCGGGAAGAAAGTGATAACGCGACTATGATACACCGTAACGTACATATAATCGTAACATCAGAATACTCAGGCTAAAACTTTTGTCCGAGACATTTCTGTCTTCAAAAGGGAGCTCCGAGATATCTCAGTGGATAAATTACAATGGGCCACCCTGAATATATGTACGTCGTATGTATGTTCAACACAAACGTTTATTACGAAATTATAGTGACATCTGCGTATCACAGGAGAGCTCAGTCGATTCTTTAGAAACCACTCCATCGCCATCGCTTCAATTCTAGGCACGCAAAACAAGCTACGTAGCTACAAATGCACGATTACCGCGCGTGCCACATTAAAAACGGAGCAGAGTCTACAAATTTTTATTCCATCATATTCGCAGATAAATGAAATAGAAAGACCATGTTTACTGTTGCTCACAACTCGATATCGATCACAATTCGCGCGACGGATTTAATATTTTCAATGGAGTGGTCACTCGATTATTTCGTCATAGGTCACAGATGTTTTTGTATTGCTCTTCGTAGACCATGGTGTATTGCCCCTCCCTACATGAAAATTACAATTAAAAAATAATCTCGAAAATAATGCTTTCGCGTCAGCGTGTAAAAAATAGGCATGCACAGAGAGGGGTGAGGGCGTATCTATAGTGTATCGCAGAAACGCTGAGACGCAACAATAATGACAGTAATTATAATCTTTTACTGGTCGTAATGTTTCTTTCCAACAACGGGAGGTATAAGAAAGATATTTCACGTTTAGCGAGTGAATGTTTTACGATGAAGATATAAACTGACATATTTTAGTGGCCGTTGACTCTTCAACTTTTGAGGCGCTGCTTAAACGAATTTTCTCTCTAAGGATCATCGATAAGATTAATAGTTTCAAGTGTAGGAGAATTGAATTCTCTTAGACCAGGGACAGCGATTGTCGCTCATCGTCGATGTAAAAACGAAAGAAAAGTATCCAATATATGCCAGACCGTATGATTTCGAATCAGACTTCTTACAAGAGTAACAAGAGTTATTTCGCAATCTTATATATACGTCGCGTATCTAAAAAAAATTTGATTCCGCGATTTTCGAAGTATATCTGGATGGAATAAAATACTCGGAGAAACGAATGATATAAGAAGAACAATTTTGTTACTTTGTAAGAATAAGAAACATCGTATCAATAAAAGATCGATATTTAACGCGTTAACAACCAACAGATTCACTTTTAGGAGACAAAAATTTTACAAGTTAAAAAAGTTACACACACATACAAAAAATATATGTACATACGTGCACACGAGAAAAATGATGTACTAACAACATTAGTTGGCAGCGTAATTGAAAATAATTTTGTTAATAACAATATTAATGAAACAAGTATGTCATAATCTTGTTATAATAAAATATTATTTCATTAGTACTATTATTATTGAATTAACAAGATTATTTTCAATTTTGCTATTAATACATCATGTTTTGTGTGTGTGTGTGTGTGTGTGTGTGTGTGTGTGGTGTGTAAAATTCCAAAAGTAAAAACAATTTTGCTTTAACTATGTTCGTCTACCATAATAATGGCTTTTAATGGGCTAAATACCACCGTAATAGATAATTTGGAAATGTTCAGAAACAAAATTGTTTTTTAAATCAATTTTATATTGCACGATAATACGATTATTATCACAATCAATTGGTGTCATTAAAAAAAAAGAATTATATATCCTACGCACGAATTAAATTTATCAAATTGACTACCGGATCAAATTAAGTTCAGAATATTTGCGATTGTCCCAATTAATCTTCGTTATTAATTTCCGATGGATCAATGCCAAGGTAAACTACTAATAGCAAATAAATCACCCGTTTGATAATGCCTTCAGGAAATTGACTTACTTATTGAGACTCAATGTTTTTGTATAAAATGCCTTAACGTTACTTTTATGATATCTCGTAATTGATTAAATTAATTTGTATAAAGCAATGGATGTGACATGTGTGAACGAGTGTGATATAACTATATAACGAGAATACGTTCTTACAGGCGAAAACGGAACACGCCACAATCGCAATAGGTACGAAACTTTCAGCGTTTTTACGTATAATACTAAGAATCTCAGTTTGAAACATTTAGATAAACGACTTTCCATGTTCGCCGTTAGCTATACCTAAAGCTAAGATCCTGTTATCGACGTCGAAAATTGTGTTTTAACATTTAAACGTTCAAAAATACAGAATCGTATTTGATTCGTCTCGCGTCCAACATGTGCTAACGTTTAAAAAAGTATCGTTGATTTAAACTCTTTATCTCTATTTCTCCTGCTATCATTCCTCGCTATCTCGTTATTCCCACCGGAGAAACAGTTTTTACTCGCGCCTTATCATACAGCTTTCTATTTAATATTATCATCTTCGCGCGCATAAAAATAAACTAAATTAGTGTACGTATCAGAATCTTTTCGAAAAGCTCGCGCGCCACGCGCAAAATAATATGCCCCTTCCTTCCAAAAAGTATAAATGTTAAATGTACATATATGTATAATTAATATACTTACTCGGCATTTATATGTCGTTTATATTTTTTATCCTTCCGCGCTGTTACTAACCATACATAATGCTAACATATTGCATTAAAATAATGTAGAACGTAACAATAAACTAAAGAGCATTGTACATTGTTTCAAAAGATAATTAAAAACGCCGCGACGTATTTTGATTATGTAGAGAGAAAGAGAGAGAAAAATTGTCAAATGGCGGAAGTTACCGTGTCGGAGAGTATGCTGGACACCAAAGATCTTCGTGTGAGAATCTCTCTCGTTCGACGAAAATGACTGCTCGCATATTCTACTATCGTAGAAACTTCGTTAAAACAGTAATATTATTAGTTTAGTATAGTAGTACCCTAATGCGGGGAATATATAAAAAATTAAAAAATATACGAGTATATATAAAACACATAGAATGCATATTCGTCGTAGCGCATCTTGCATAAAGTCGGACTTTTGGTTCTATCTGTTCGTTCTAGTCGCAAAGTCGTAAATAATCGACTTGCACTTAATAGCAGCGCATTTAGTGTTGAACATGTTGTCTTAAACCTAAATTTCCTAATTGTATGTAATTGTATGTTTTCGTCGAGATAAAATATAGTATGGCTAATACAAATGAAGACTTGCGCACAGAGAATATGATTCAAGTTCGTATGCCTTTCATCGGAGAAGGCATATTATTTTGGCTGTAAGACGCCTTTACTTCTATCTACGTTTCGCAATACCTGATTTTTACAAAAAGATCCGTTTGATCTTCGGCCGATGCACACTTTGGTATCCAACAAGCTTCTCCACGCGTAATCGGAACATGAACGATCGATAGTCGTGATATGGGCAGTGAATGATTAAGCAAGTACCAATATTAAATGGGCTGGCTCTCCCATTGAGGCGCCCATTCTGGAAGTCGTCAATCTGCATTAGATGGCGGCGTGGCATATCTCGAGCGCGAATCCGAGTCTCCGTCACATATATATTTTCCTGAAACAATTTCATTTCCTCAAATCTTGTGACAACTAGTCAAGTCACAAGAATTATGCTTATCGATATCGTTTTTTTCATTGTAAAGAATATAATATTTTCTACGTGACGAGATTATTTCATTTTGATAGAAAAACACATGGAACAACGATAGCTCGACATGGAGGTTCAATATCGCGCGTCACAGTCGTTGTTACTTACAGAACGTTCCTCTCGATACATACTGTTAATGTATATTATATATTCCATTAATAAAACAATATTCTCTATAATGTGGTATCTCGTTATATCCTTAAGTGGCACAAAAATTATTCTCTTCATACGATTGCTCTTACGTAATCACGCAATGATTAAAAGACGCCTAATAATCTGATTAACATACCGGATACAAATTTTCGCTTCACCAAGCTCAATCGATATCCAGAGCCTATAAGCTCAAATTCGACACCCGACAATGTGGTCCCTTCGCAATTGAATTGAGTGAATATCGTTCCCTGACTGCCCGGGCCGTGTTCGAGCTCGACTCGTGCCTTCAGGGATCCGACTCCGTTACCCTCGCTGTGCTGCGAAAGCTCCGTGAATTTCCATAGTACGCGATTTGTATCAGGCAGCCACTGTGCCGGCGGTTTGCTATTGAACGATTTGAAACCACCGTCGATGGGAGCCGCAACGTGGAGATTTAACAAGGGGCTCGGTGAGGCCATGGCGCGACTGTTGTACTTGTAATCGATCTAAAATCGAAAGCAATCAAACTTACAACAGCTGTCACGTGAAGCGAGATAGAGAGATAAAATTGTTGCCTTTGTCTCTCATGAATATCTTCTTAATGAGATGACAGAGACGGTCGGATACCTTGAGATCGGTGTGACCCGTTTCACACTTCCAATATGCAACTAATTGAAAAGGGCACGAGCTGGCGCCTTCTTTGCATTTGATCTGGTACTTTAGGATGTCCACATTGAAATACGAGGCCGAGGGATTCTGTTCAGCTTGCCGCCGTAGCAACATAGTTAAGGCACTCATGTTGAATTCGAAAATTGTACTGTCGACGGTAGTCTGAGTTGCGTCCCTGGAAGCATCCCACGGTCACTCTTTTTATCAAACTGCCTTCTCTCGATTTGAAGGACCAACCGAAATGACTTACATGCTGATAAGCTGGCTGTTCGGCAACAACCTCTCCAACCTGTTGGTGTTCCTCACGCGAAAGGTCAGTTTGGCAGGACTGGGATTATTCGCCAGGACCGTGACGATGCCGGCCGGAAACGAGAGCATCATATCACCGCTCAGCTTCACCTGGCAGCGGGTCTCGTCCGTGCCGCGGAAGTAGGAATGCACTATCTCGTGGAACGCCACCGCCAGCGGGATGGTGTCAGCTAGGCCGATCGTGAGTGGAGATGGTCCCCGCGAGGAGCCCACGCCTACGCCAGCGGTGCGAAATTCCAGGCTGGCGACGCTGTCGGCGCGGGATATCGTTGCGGGTGACATTCTGCCGCGTGGCGACGGACCCTCTCCTCGACGCGACGGCGGTCTAGGTATCACGATTGATCCCGTTGGTGTCGAGGATGCGGACTGCTTGGGCGGTAAGGCCGGCGTGATATCTCCAACTTCCGAAAATAAATCCCCATCTAAAACAAGAAGAAAGAGAATTAGATTGATTCCTTCTCGTAAACTCTTGTCTCCTCTTATTCTTAATTCCATACAAATGAAAAATGTTTCAATTTAAATACATCGCTATGCCGAATTTATCTCTATACAGTCGTCAAAAATGATGGCTATTTGCAATTACATTGGATCATGAGAGCATTAGATGTGACACGCTACAATTTTTATAATATTCTTAACTCGTTTCTTAATAATGTTTCTCTTTTGCACGTATCGTACAGTGTCAGTAATAGTAAGTTCAGTCGCTATTTGACGTTACAAGTTTCGCAAACTTTAACATATTCACAGATTCGATGGTGACTTAGCAAATTTGTATCTGCCACCCGGCAAGCGGATAAACTCGTTGATAGGGTTTTACCTATTGGGAATCGGGTATGAGAATGTGTAGGCGGCGCGGATTGTGGCGGCGGCGGCTGCGATGGGGTCGGCGATGTGGAAAGTGGCGGTGGGCTCTGCAGCGGGGCGTAAGGATGGCTACCGGTCGGTGTCGATGCGCTCGACGGCGTACTGCTAGGATTGAACAAGTTTAGGCCAAGTAAATCTGAGCTTGGCTTACCTCCTAATTGTTGTGACACTGACTGAGACCTTTTCATGTGATGATCGGAATCAGTATTCGATCCTCTACGTCCCTGTTCGAAACATGAGTTACCGTCAGAAAAGCGAATAACATTTTTTTCTTTAATGACATATATACACCAAGCATTCCAAAAATCGTAATACGACCAAGAAAGAAATTTTTCTTTGAAAAGTAGGTACGAAAAATACAATATTGATAATATTTCTCTAGAGGAAACATTTTGATTTAAAGTCATCTGAGGAAGATGAAGAAATCAATAGTATATAATACTACGCTACATGTATTGTACTGTATATGCTATTATACTTTGTAAATTATACGTACTTTTGCGTTATGGTAATATAAATAAGTTAATGAAGAAAAATCTACAAATTAGCGTACATTTACACTCCTCAAATACTGTGTATATTATTTATTAAAAATTTCAAAACAGGACTTTTCTACTATTTAACCTGCTCTACTTATCTTCTTTGGATGTTACTCTTATTATCAAACACCCTGTATACAACGTATGTAGTATGGACTTATAATTTCAACATAATCCTCTTTCCGTCCTATACATCTTGCACCGTCCCAGAAGCCTCTGAAAGGCTCTGGAACAATCTAAGACGTCTATAGTACAATTTTATATAGTATTATATACATTTTTGTAATAGTATTACATTGAAATAAAAATATTGCTTTGTATGTCTGTTTCTTTATATTATCAATATTACTTCGCAACTCAAATAAAATCATACAAGTATGTCTAAATATATATCATACTTTTGCCTTCTTCCAAGTCACGGAATAACATCTATTATTTTGGTCGTGAGTCGCGATGTATAACGCACAATACGTGATTTTTCAGCCGAGAGTATAACTCACTGTTGGTGCAGGTGATAAAGATAAATTTTCCACTGTCGCCCTCAATTCGTCCACACTAGCGCTCATGGGTGCACCACCATTGCTGAGAGGTTTTATTTCCACTCGAATTTTACGTTCCCTCTCATCCTCCGAATCAGTATCTGAACTGGAATAGAACCCCTTTTCGTTTTCCCACGGATCTGGCTTCGGTCTAATACAAAAACCATCCTCATCCACCTCCGGCGTTGGCGTTTCTGATTTTCTGCTGTCTTCCTTGTCCTCCCTATTGTGTTCATGACAAATCACTTACAATAATATACTTTTGTAAGTTCCAGCAGGCCCAGTGCATTACACAATAAAAACTTTTTCATGCTAGAAGCGTGCTAAAATAATAAAGTTGTTGCGCTTATAGGCATGATACGTGAGATAAAGTTAACGAGTACCAAGTACTCTACTGCATTGATAAAGAAATGCTGTACATGGATCTATAAATGCTTTCTTTCCGAATTTTGCAGTCTTCTAACTTTCAAATATATACGTGGATTTCAGTAGAATTTCCATTTTCAATTTATCGAGAAACGAGAAATCAGTCTGATGGCTGATAAAGACTGTTTCTTGATATTTTATCAAAAGTAGTATAAAGCTAAAGGTAAACATATACGAAAGGTGTGCTTTCGGTAATAACCATTGACAGCACAAACTAGGATTAGTCCAAGAGAAATCAATGTAGTAACGAAAATTAAAATTGTACAACTCATTGTTATTCGGTAGTCCGTTGTATAGTAACTGTATCATTCGAGCGATATCGAATAGTTACAAGTTACTGAAAGTAAATAGTTATTATTTTGTATCTAACAGATGAATAAAATGAAAGAAATTCTACATTTTGCAGAAGAAACGTGTTATTCTTATTACCACATAGTACAAAGGAACAATATTATTAAAAAAGAGCCAATAATTTAATTGATTTCACGGTTCAGTGATATGTTCTCGAAATATTGTCTGAATTTACAAAATAACAGATATTTAGAAAGTTTCAGCAACTTCCAAATTATCCTACTTGTGACAGTTTATTTGAACATTGGCACCCAATAATGTACAGCTTTCAACGTCTGTAATATGGAAAGAAAGCATTTGCAGACTCTACCCCGTATATCTGTGATTGGTAATGACTGATAGAAAATTATAATGTGCAGTATCTCAAACAAACAAATAGAATCCAAACAAACAAATAGAATCCAACAACGAATCATTCCAAGTCTAAGATTCACATCCAGCGATAATAGATTTAATATAAAATCTTAGATATAAACATTTCCCGCGAGGTAAACCGCTGACTAAAATCATGTGCACCTACTAATGCCCAGTGGGCATTACTTTATCTTATTTTGTCTTTATCATGCCCAAACTAATACCCAAAAAATGCCCAGTAATGCCGCAGAATCTGCAATGTCCTCAGCGGTTTACCCCATTTCCTTTGTTAGAGTACAAGTAGAATTTGTCTGCTGGTTGTGAAACTGATTTTATGTGCACTAGGTCTGCTGTGCATGCATGTACTGACAGGTCAGACTTTTCTTCTTTGTTGCTGCTCGTGTCCATGAGGTCCTTCTTCTTCTTCGCCTTCTTCTCCTTTCGTTTTTCTCTCCTACTGCGTAGGAACCCTGTTGGTCGTGGACACCCCAAATGTAGACAATAGGACGGTATATGTATTGTGATATATGCACTAGCTACTCATTAAACATATACTTTATGCGAATTAAACTCTCACGGTTACTGCAAACTATGAATTTATTTCTATCTGCGGAATTAATGTTCTAAACTCTTGTTAAATTCACTACACTCAAATATTTATGCAATAATAGAATATTGTATAGTTATATAATGGGAGAAAAACCGATGCTGATATTAAAAAAGTATCACAAGAGATATCGATAGCATTTCTACTAATAACAACAACCAAACTATGTACGAATAAAATGAAAAAAGGCAGAAAAACTACATAGTTGCATTACTATCTACACGAATATGTATCTACTCAAATATACAGTGTACAGTTTATACGAGAACTGCTGCTGCTTGTATAAGAAAAAAAATATATATAAATTGTTATATTCCGTCTCAACATTTGTAATATTTAGATAGGCGACAGTGTGTAACTATAAAATTTAATGGGAAATGAAAATATTAAAGAATTTACTTTCCAAGTGATCGAGACGTAGCGCAACATGATCTAATAAACAGCATCTAATACAAACAAATTGACACATGTCGTATTAATAACTAGCATTCCTGTATGCAGTTGTAATTAATTAATTAACTTCCACATTCTCCGATAACGCAGACACGAGTTTCCTCGCAAAGATCAATTTATTACTCGCTAATTAGATTGTTTTCTTCATTTAAATTGTGCCGTTTCTAACGAATAGATCACGAATAGCCGATCTAATTTCTAACATTTTTCGTCTTTCGAGAAAACACGTGTCAGCACTTGGTAAAACAACGACTAACATAAGTGAATACCTACATCAAACGAAGAATGCAAATGAATACAAAAGTGAGGTATACAGGAAAGAAAATTCAGTTGTGAAGTGGAGCACGTCGCGTTAGTAGAAATATGAAGATATCCCACGCACCATCACCATCAAAAGTCCTACGGTCTCTGGCATCGTCTACATTCCTCTTAAATTGTTTTTCTAACAATTACTAAACCTACATTGACACTATAAGAAATGCATTGCAACATTCTTCTGCACGCCTCTCTTTCGAAGATTGTACACACAGAGGGACGTGTCCTCTGCAAGCCAATCTAACATCGCATGCAAAAATAGTCTTGGATATTAAACGGACAGATATTTAGAAGAGCAATCGAAAGAGAAAGAAACGTTCCATAATCGATCAATTGTAGTGAATGCTGCAGGAGATGCTATAGAAACGATCCTCGACAAGAATATAACTCGGGATAATTGCTTTCAGAATTATATTAGGCTGTTGGAAAAGAGAGAAAAATATTCCTGCACTTGGAAAATAAATGTAAAGAACATGTGAGCCATGCAAATTAGGAATTTTATAAAAACGGCTCACCTGCGGCCCCGTCAGTAGCCAACCCCACTCTTGTATCTCAACATTATTCAAGTCCAACTCCCTTTAGCTTAGTCATATTTCTCTTTTTTTTTATCTCACTGCACCAATGTTACGGAATCAACTTTAGAAGTAGATACAATTATACGCCGCAATCTGTGTAATTGTAAATCTATTCAGGACGCTCATTAGTGGTACGTGTTAGCATTTGGATCACTCATGACTCGTGTAAAGAAGTTAGAATATGAATTGTACGTCTCGCGATTATATAACCCGTCCGTGTATTTATTCTTAATTGTATGACACAAAAAAAAGAGTTAAAGAATTAAACGGAAAGGCAAAAGTGAAGCTATGTTAACACATATATGAACGACGTTATTTAATCTTTAATCTTTCGCGGTAAAAAAAATATATATACACAAAATATATTTTGTATATATATGTGTGTATATACATATATTACATTTTTAAATATATACAAAAGTCCGAAGCTTTTTTTGTCAAATGATGATTTCATAATGAACCGAATGCACTCGGTGATACAGTCTGTGATACAGTTTGTACAAATATATAAGAATTGTCTAGATTTCATTGTGGTTGTGCAAGACAACTGATGCAAACATCGCCATAATCGGATAATATATATTCCACAGAGAGATTTGTTAGAAAAACAATTTATAAGTGAAACTTTATGAAAGTAATTAGACTCCCCGTACATTTCTAATCCCATATATTTGCTAGATACGCCTACGTTTTATAAAAGCGTCTTTCAACGTTAGTGAAGTGTAGCAAACAAAAAAAATATTTCTTCCTTCAAACGAAAGTATCCTCCCGATCCTTGGTCCGTCTCAAACGCGGATAATAAATCAAAGTGAAGAAATATTTTGCACGAGCGTTATACGTGAAGCAGAAATTAATGTTACACTAGAATGCACTTCTTTAATATGTAATTCATTGGTTTGGCGAAAGATGTATTGTAACATTAATTTGAAGCGTTTGGACAATGTTAGTATACGTACATCGCTGTTCTAAAAGTGAGCACAGTGGAGGAATCGTAATACGCGCAACCACTATAAGTCAGTAGATAATTTATTTCACCATATTACGTTCTGTTCGACCATAAAATATACGAGATATTTAAATAGAAGTAATGCCACTGTTACCGAGTACCAGTAAAGAGAGAATAACCGACAGAGAAATATTATAGATAAAGATCTACGTGAAACATGCTCGAATAAGACTAACCTTTTACAAATTAATGCAAGAAAGTATTTTAATTTATGTAAAATTACAGAATAAGTTTATATCTGAGAATTTATGCGGCAATAAACATTTTCAAATTAACAATTGGCCATTCATATTCGAGCCAATATTAATAGATCGACCAAGTGAGATCATCAGATTAAAATTGTGACTATTGAGGCAACAGATGAAAAATTGTGTGCAAAGTTATTTCACACTCTTTCAATATTCTTTAATGAAAGGAAGAGAAGGAGAAGTAGAAATCGTACGAACAGAAGCACGACAATCGTTAATTGTATGTTGCATCAGTGAGAATCAAGTACAGAGTTAATTACTTTATCAATGTACTCGGCAGTTAACATCGGTATCAGTAATCTCTAATGTATGCTGTATGTTGTATTCTAACAACAAAGTGAGAGGGTATGGTAGAACGGGGTACAGGAATAAAATGTAAATTGTTACATTTAGATCCTCTGAGAGGGTTCCTGGAGATGCTGGGAGGTGGAACAGCAGGAGGCAGGTTGTTCCCTTGAGGGGTGGCAGGTGCCGAACCAGACGACCCTGCTTGCTTCTGTTTGTCTGAAACAACACTCATCATTCTCACGTCTTTGAATACCTCCCCCGTCAACTGATGGCCCTGTTTTCCTCTCGCTCCGTGTCGCACTTATTATGCACGTTAGTCGAAACCGATACGAATTTTAATGACCTTTACACTTTCAGTGGCATTTCCAAGCGTTCCAGAGGAGTGAGAATATTCTACATGGCCACATGATACTTCTGTCCGTATACTTAAAGTAATACCCGACACACAAAAGAGACTATGCATAAATGCACAAAAATTGGAGGCAAAATTAAATATTGTAATTGTGCAAAAAAACTGTTACAATAAATTTCCCACTTTTGAATGGATGAATAAAGTAAAATAATAATCCTTCACATATTGTATAAGGACAATTTGTAATACACATATAAAAGTATATAATTAGCAACCAAATTAACATAAAAAAAAAAACAAACAAACTCCCTGGAACACAATGGTACTCTATTTGTCATCCTCCACCTAATGTTAGATCGTTACGCAGAAGCAAGTATAACACAACAACCACATAAGCATAAACAAGTCGATAAAAACCGTACTGCGTATCATTCGAATTGATATATCTGTGATATCGAGTGCTGCAATTCAATTGGGCAAGTGTACAATGTGATCAATGATATGGTACTAACGAATATATAAAATAAAAGACGGCAGAACAAGCCTACCCAGACGTATGCAATGTTATGCTGATACTTGTTTTATGAATGCTCACCACTAGACGATAACGAAAGAATTTTTCGTCGGCGGAGAGCGTATCCACCTTTCGTGCGATAACATGAAGATGAAAGTAATCGACGTAGCGTAAAAATGTTACAAAAAAAAGAAAACGGGAAGAAATATATCGTGTGTAAGAGATGTAGCATCTCATTGCATCGAGCCAAGGTAGGTTCAAACTATTGCAATTAAAAAGATAATTAAAATTTCGAGAGTCTATATAACTTCGATGAAAGAGAGCTAGAAAGAGAGAGAAAGAAACCTACCCTGGGAGTTGGACATGAACAGGTTGAGTAGCGAGGTAGTACGGCGGGAAGCCTTGGTGGTTTGTGCATGAGACAGTTCTCTGTCCTTTTCCTTCTGCCTTTCTTTTTCTCTATCTTTTTCCAATATCACCCTCCCCCTGTCCCCGTCCAGTACTCTCAAAGTACCACCCTCCCCTTTTAAACCCCGATCTTTTTTTGAACTGTGACTGTTACCGGCTACGCCTGTTTCGCCGTTGGTTCCCTTTGATGTTTCCTTAGACGCCTCCACGCTGCCTTCCGACTGCGAGTGGCTGGTTATTTCTGCTAAACTCGTCATAACTTCCTCATACTCGATCACACCTGATTTACAAACAAGTCAGCGGATATCAAGGAGTGCAGAAACGAAGGGAAGTCTTCGAAAATACTCCCTTTTTACCTGGTTTCTCGAAACCCGTGTATTTACTCTGAACAAATTGCTCTAACAGCTTCTCCACCGTCATATCAACGCACTGCCGTTTGAAATCGATATGCACCTGGCCGACCTGCTCGTGATTGGTTTGCAAAACGTCCGCGTACGTATTCAGAAACTCCTTCATGTGCTTCAGATGCGTCTCCTCCACATCTTGGAACCGCTTGGTAACGAAAACGTACATTGATTAGCACGCCTCGTCAATCGCCCGCGCGACAATATTATCTCTCGCAGGTCTACATTTTAACTAATCAAAATGTTCTACAGCTTCGCCAGCGGTAATTAACAACGCCAGTGTTTGCTTGACCAGACCTGGCATTTTTAATAATACAGAAAATTTCGCCTCAGTGGTCGAATTGGCGAGACGCCCGCCTAAGAGTGTAGGGAGGTCCAGGTTCAAACCCTGGCTGAGGTAATATTCTTCGCAATAAATCTGTATTATTAAAAATGCCAGGTACGGTCAAGATAACACTGACGTTCTACATTTTAATTAAGAATTAGTACCCTGCAAGCCTGAGTCATTTTCGCCTCGAAGTCGTTTCGTATGACCGTGTACTTGTCTACCAGCGTCTTGTAATCATCTTGTGCCTTTTTAAACTTGCCCTCCGCCTTCTCCAGCTCCCTCTGACTGGCATTGTCCTTCTTCAATTTCTCTAATTCGAGGCGCTTTTGCATACACATGTCCTTCGCCTTGTGTAACGTTACCGTAATGCTCTGTATACTTTGTACAACTTCTAAAGTAGACGATTCTTCTTCCTTCACCTAAATGCATCGGTACATATTCGTTATTCTCCAGTTAAACTATTTTGATTACGAATTAATGGAAATGAATTGATGTGCCGGCTACGATAGATAGGGCCACTGCGCATCGCTGACTTGATTGCCTGACAATGAGAATCTACCGACCCAACAATGTGGGCGGATACTGATAATTTATGGAGCACGTATCTAACATATTTTACACAGCGTGGCAATCGTGAAAAAAAAAAGATAGCGTTGTATCTTACTCTGACACCGCAACCAAATCAATGAGAGAAGAGTGTAACATTAGATGTATTTTAAAATTAAGAGGTACATTTAGCCAACAAGTTAAATAGGGAGACATTAAGTGGAAATTAAGCTCGTTTAATGCAATGCAAGTTAAAAGGGGAGAAAGGCCAACTATGCGAGCACTGAAAAGCCGTGAATATTATTTTACGTTTTTATTCCCTCCAATAATTAACTCGAATAATTTACTTAAATAGCGTGTGTATATAAAGTAAACAGTAAACGTTTTAGCTTTAATAAGCCTAACTTCAAGTACTTTTACGTATGCCAACCGTAAAGGAGGAAATAGACAACTTTTGTAAAATATAATATATATTGTAAAATATAAATCAAACCTAATCAACTAGCAAGTAGATTAAAATGAATTAAACTGACGCATAGACTAAGAGGCCCAGGAATTAAAACCAAGCTTACGTAAACTAAAATTTACATGAGAATGTAAACTAAAAGGTGTTTTCTAATGGGAAAACACCAGCACGCTTATGGCATAATAAAATAATTTACTTATTGTCAAAATTTGTGACAGATTGTAGCTAACTCCGGGAGTTAATAAAATAAACACCTTCGAGTGCAATTTTAAGTTTCATACTGATTAGTGAGACAATAATACGATAATTAAATAGGGAAATGCAATTACGTACAGCCTTATGTTTCTTGTGTAGCTCATCCGCATATTTTGACACATCTTTTATGAGTTCGGAGACTCGCTGGGCCATTTGGAAGTGTAAAACAGCGAGTTTCTCGGCGGCGCCTCTCAAGGCGGCCCATACAGGTGCGAATGTTCCTTGCGTGCTATTACTCGCCTGTTTTGCTACCTTACTAAGAAGCTTATAATTGTTCTCCTCTATGGCTGATCTCTCTCGCAAAAATTCAGCCAATTCCTTGCTGGCGATTACACCATGCTTCATGTTATGGTACAACACGTCAAATCCATTGTTCTTTTCGCCCTTGAATGATAAGAAAAAAATAGTATTTCAGTATCTTCCTCAATTAAATCGAAAATTTCATTGGTCTTTGATTATTGAACTTTACTCGGATTAAGTGCACGTTGAACTTGATCCCTAACTACCATTCAACTTTCGCCCGTATTATCTCTTTTCATCTTCAACAAAGCAGGTGTTTGAACCCATCCCAATCGCGTGACGCGCTTATATAATGTTCCGCGACTATTTTAATTTAACGATAGACCCCTTAATGAATTGGAAGCCAAGTTTGTCTTCCTAATAGAAATGTCGAAGGTTTGAATATTAATTTTCAAATTTATCAACACTTGAAGAAAAGGCTCTCGGCATCGAAGAAAACGGATAACGAAATTGTGCCCTTTTCTCTATATCAAATAGAGTTTAATAAATGGTCAATTTTTAAAACCTAATAAAGGTACAAAATGACGATATGAAAGTAACGACTTTCCTTGACATTTTCACCGAGAAGCAATCAACTTCACATTCATCAGAGAGAATGTTGTAATTAAAATTAAAATTGCAAATGCACCACAGACACCCATGATTATATGTAAACGTGCGTGTGCGCGCGTTTTAAATTCGAAACTCTGGGAATTGGTGTAAGGGACGACCGCGGAGAGTTGCGGGCCATCCATTTTTCCCGTCGGAAGGAGATGCGTAAAAATTCTGCAATTAGAATACTACGACCGAGAGATATGCATTGGAGCAGTACTTAAGACCACTTAGCCGTTTAACACTTGAACTCTGGTCACGCGGTAAATCCACATTGAGCAGAACCGCTCGAGTGACGTCGCCGTAATAAGCTGTCATTACGTATTATTGCCCTTGTCATCCTATTGTACCGATTACTCCCGGCGGTTATACGTCTCAATTTCTGCTCTGATTTTATTGTGAAAGAATCTTTCGTAAACAGTCCGTTTTACATCGGCGCCCGTGGCAATCTCCGATGCGGGATACTCAAAAAGGGGAAGTGACAACTATCTTATCTCGACAATGTGCGTTAGGAGAGAAAGAGTTGCAGATAAATATGTACCATTGGTCAATGGAGATTTGTAGCGCCCTCGGAAAAAAAAGCGTTTCGTGACAAAACGTCAGCGCGGTCAGATTCATACCTGACTTTACTTCTTTGTCAAGATAATAATATAGAAATAAGTAAGTGTTCATGTGCGCATTTTTCTTTACACTCGCCGCACCAACGTCTACGTATTCATAGTACGCGAGTGCTATTATATAATCAACTAGATGCGAAGGTACACGCACATTTGTAAAACTCTATGGCTCCGTAGTCCGGTATTCATAGTCTAATCTTATATCCAAGATCATCTCAAGTACAATCTCGAAACGCTACAGGCCGTTTCATCGGTCAGATGGTGCTTCAAAAACTGCACCTGACTAGACACGAGATGATCTTGGGTGTAAAGCTTCGTTCGGAGCAAGTCGTGGCCGACATGTACATACTCGGAGAGAATTATCTCTTAAAATTTACCCTGGAAATCGTGTAATCGTGGGACATCGTGGCATTTGGAAGAATTTTATGAGAGTTTTTAAATGCCACGTTGTCTCACACGATTTTTAGGATAAATTAACAAAAAAATTAAATATAGATAATAAAAATGTAGGAACCAAATGTGACAATATTGTAGTAACTACCAGTTTCATTATTAAATTTGCATTTGACATGTTATAATATTTTTAACGATGTATCTGTCCCTGACGTCAGTGTCGATTGCATTTTGCTATTGCATTTTTTAACGTGAGTGAAGCTAATACACAAATGGTAAGTGGCGATAATTCATTAATTTTTCTGCTGCTTGTACAGTAATATTTGGGAAGTGTCTTTCTTTAAGGAAAAAAAAGAGATTAAATCTAGTTGAAAAATACGCAAGAAAAATACAACAGCGATGTTTTGTAGATGAACGTAAAATGTAATGACAGAGATTTGTTACGTGGGAAGTTGAGGGGCAACAGTAGTTTTAAACAGTACTTTTACGTCCAATTCTCATTCCACACTATTGTTAAGTGTGGAATGAGAATTGGTGAAACATTGGCCCAATATTTGGTTGTATTGGGTGCCGAAAGTTCAGCCAACGCACTGTTGCTACTAGGGTAAAGCCCAATGTCCACGATGCTAGAACTTGGACCAAGTTCTAGCATCGTGGACATTGGCCTTAAAGGCTGGTCTACAATACATGGAGTAAGCTGGAGTAAGGAGTAGGAGTAACGAAATAAATCCATTTTATTTCTTACTCCTACTTCAGCTCTTAGCGCCGATCTACAATACGTGGAGTAAGCGTGGAGTAAGGAGTAAGAGAGAGCCCCAACTTCTAGCTTTTGGTGTAAGGCAGCTGAGATACAGGCATAATTTTTAAAATATTTGTAACACTGATTGATGGCATTTTGATTATCCGAGAGTAAGCCTAAGAGCTGAAGTAAGAGTAAGAAATAAAATGGATTTATTTCCTTACTCCTACTCCTTACTCCAGTTTACTCCAGCTTACTCCATGTATTGTAGACTAGCCTTTAGGCTTACTCTCGGTGAATCAAAATGCCATCAATCAGTGTTACAATTATTTTAAAAATCATGCCCGTATTTCAGCTTCCTTACACCAAAAGCTAGAAGTTAGGGCTCTCCCTTACTTCTTACTCCACGCTTACTCCATACTCCACGTATTGTAGACCATGCATAAGAGGAGCAGTAAAAATTGAGATGTAACGTAAAATACACCTCGCGCGAGCAGCGGCGTTTACTCAGAAAAAAAACCCGCAAGTTAACGTAGGGTTAACGGCATCGAACAATTAGTGGAATCAGATTCCGTCTCTTGGCGCGAGATCCCCGTCGTCTCGGTCGCGAGCTCGATACGACCCCGGCGGGGACTTGCCCTCGCGGACGATCTCCCCGGCGCGTAGGCTCGCGGATTCTCGCCGCGGGCAACGGGCGTCGGTGCCGCGAACGCGCGTGAATACCCCGGCAATTAGAGGAGGCTAATTGCGAGACGGTACAGACGGGCGGCGGGGGGGAAAACTGACGCGCGGCAGGTGTCCTTCAACCACGCGCGTAAAAAGAGATAAACGCGTAGCCCGAGCCGCGCGTACGCCAGGCTGCACTAGAATGCACATGTCAATGAGTTGCAGATCGGACCCGATGTTTTCCTTTATTCAAGCGTGTTTCACGCTACGAGTTTGTTCAGTATGTGAGACGTGGGGAGGAGGAGGGTAAGTGCACGTAAGATAGGTACAGAGGACGAGGAGAGAGGTGGGAGGGGAGGGAGAGACAGAGACAGAGAGAGACAGACAGGCACAGAAAGAGAGAGAAAGAAAGAAAGAGAGAAAGAGAGAGAGAGAGAGAGAGAGAGAGAGAGAGAGAGAGAGAGAGAGAGAGAGGGGGCGGGGGGGGAGAGAAGGAGGGAAAGAGGGCGACGGGTCGAGCGAGTGTAGGGTAGCAATTGATGGGACAGGGTGGCGCGTTTGTTGAGCTAATTACTGTAAGGCGAGGCGCTTACTCGCGCCGCTACATACAAACGGCATTAAAGGTGGTGGTCATCAATCCTCGGTAGGGCCCCTTCGCCCGCCCGGCGAGTCGGTCCCTCTCCCCCTGCCCCTTCGTCGCTCCGCTGCGGA